CACACACACACACACACACACACCCTTTCAGTCCCTGATTGTACTACCTGATTACTACCTGACGACAAATTTCAATTCTCAGGGCTACTTCCGCAAAACTATGCAGCATCCCAGATAGGCGACCGACGGCATGCTCATCGACTACACTCACATTACGTGTTGTACGTTGTACGTTGCATAGGCGCCAGCATCCCTGGAGCTCGCAGGTCCAACGTCCAGCCAGAGGCTTCCTTGGCCACGCCAAATGAAATCCTTCGCGGCTACTTCACTGCACCTAACCCATTTTCATTTTCTTCGGCCAACTCATCCGCGCTGCGTGAATATTTTGCAGGCTACCCATACCGTTAACTTCTGCCCTGTCTTACCTTAGCTCTCACATGCCGAAGTCAGCCGAGCGCTGACTCGCGCCATTTCTGCCAGCCCCTGAGAATAACGAACAACGTATTCATTACGTTAGGTACCTAGGTAGTACAGGGACGGCCGACTCAACTCGATCGCTTCGGCATGGTGGTGGAGTTCCCGCGTTTAATCCAATCTACTCCGTCCGTTGGCGCTTTTTCATCCCAACGAGCAAGACGTCTCTCATCCACTTTCTCCTGGCCGTCCAAAAGATTGACCTGAGTGAACCTAGGTATTACATTGCACCTTCGTCATTAACAGATCTTGCGGCGGATACTTCCCCCTTTAGGCAAGTCGCTAGCTCTGCTCGCGGCAAACTAATTCGCCATGGGTCGCCATGGCAGGTCTGGTGCCCGCCAACACGACGTGCCTGCAGATACAAGCCTGGAATCATGTCCCCATGAGTCTAGGCTCCACCCCTGCCTCCCGAGTACGAATCGAAGCCATAGGAGGCGTTGAACTTTGATTCTCGTGAGAATTCGATAATTCGAGAAATTATTGAATTATTGTAATGGGAGTAGAAAGTGAAAGTAGCTACAGCCCGAGTGCGAAGCAACACATTCACTCTGTTACAAACGGCGTGGATGAACTGGAGGGAATTACGATATGATCTGTATCAAGACTTGTTCATATGCTGACAAATGACGATTTCCAGCTTCATGCGTGGAGCTTCATCCACCTAAGACTAGCTGCAGTGGCTGTAAAATTGGCGGTCTGACAGCATTAGTTTTCGAAGACATTGAGCTCCATGACCCCGGTATTGACCGCCATGCGGTTAGCACCTGCACCAACCACCCTTTAGCCGCCGTACATCCTAGTCGACCGAAAACCCATCGTCCGAGTTGAGCAAAAATAATTAAGTGTGTTCTCCGGATAGATGTACGAATAGCTTTGGGAATCAGGTGTGGCTTCGTAGGATGCGGAAACAGACTGGTCGCGTGCGTTGGTCACGAGACAGCCACTCAGTAGAAGGGACAGTCCTCCAAGGACGCAGAGACCAGAAGGCTAGGCTACGGGGAAGACGGGAGGGAATGGCAGACCGCAAAACAATGAAGACAGGGTGAGTGGCAATAGGAATAAAAACATAGCTCGGGGACCAAAAAGCCCGTCGGGCATCTATGCCAGCCATGCTGGGTCTTGTCTCCATAAGGTAGCTGCCCACTCACATGACGACGAGGGCACCGAGAGCATGGAACCGCTGTGCTTCTGCCGAATCATGCCAATTCTCCACCTGTTGGTGCGCATTGCAGTAAAAGTTTGCCCAACACTGCCGCCATTGACGGTCGAAGAATTACCTACGCATAGAATGAACGAGGGTTCCTGTATTGCGAAGTAAATACACTTGTTGGTGGCATGTTTGTGTTTGGTGAGGAATATGCTCGCCCTTAGCTCTGCCAGAAACAAGCAATATGCTGGTTTGCGTAGCCCACTTGAGGGTCGGCCTCTTTGGCCCAGGACCTGACCTTTAATCGTTCAGCCGAGCATCAAGTGGCAGACGCATTCAGGCTTTATCCAGCCTACCGAAGGTTCCATGTCGAGTCCCCGTCCATGATGGAGACAAGTTCCTCTCACCGCTCGACTGCAATCAGCCATCCATCCAGTCCGCCCTAGCATTCGGCCTTGGGTCCCCATAGCGGAGGCTTGTCTCGATTCCTGTCCTTTGTTTTCCCGAAATACCTTCCGCGATTTTGCCTCATTTGCTGAGCTTTCCTCAATCATGTGACGAATGTCGTATTGCTATAGCCCAGGGTCGAACAATCAAATCCGGCTACTCAATCGACTCGAGAGCCGTTACCCCTTGTCGACGGCTCGCCTTTGCAGGATCCTTACAATGTCCATTTTATTCCCCCCTAACGCCTTGCAATGCAGTCCAAACACCAAAAAAAGACTTCCCGAGCCAGCCCGCTCCCGTGAAAGATAGAGGTAGCTCATGCAGCCAGGTTGTTCTTCTTCTCATTACGGCCGTCCGGAGTATATCTGTAAAACGTTGTCAGCACGACGTCCCACTCGACTCCTCAGCACCGGAGACTGAATCAAGAAACAATTCCGCCCTTCTCCTGCCCCTCCTTATTATGTTATACGTACTTCAGAAGCTTCTCGATCAAATCAACGTGCGTCATGACCATGCGGCGACAACAATAGCGTTTCAGACCGAGCTCGTCCATGGCGTCTCTGTCGCCCAGTGTTAGCGGCATATCGCTTTGCGCGTGACAAATATTGAACTTACCCATCAGCGATACCATCGTCGATGAGTTTGAGATAACGTTCCCATAGGTCGCCCGTCACCTGGATTCTCCATGTTAGCACCTTGATTTCGTGTCGCGTCGAGCGTGACCGCGTCGCATTGACTGACCTTGCCGCAAGAGAAGCAGCGAACCGGAATAATCATCTTGGCAATGCGAAGTGATGCCTTTTCTCAAAAGGAAACTGTCTACAGCAAAATATAACGAGAAAACAGGATTGTCAGATGCGCACGAAGGTGATTCACGCTTGTATCCGTGGGTAATACCTTACCTTAAGGGGCAAAGAATAATGAAGCCTCTCGGAGATCAAAAAATCAATGGCCCGAGAATTCTCCGACTTTTTTTTCTTTATCTTATCAGTAGGTGTAGGAGGGCAGTGCGGTATTGGCCAATTGGGTGAGGTGTTTCGCAGTGGGGCCTAAATTTTTCTGCGACCTCAGTACCTAGGTAGCATTAGCATCTTTTTTTTTTTTTAGGAGACAGGGTCCTGTCGAGGTCAAGTTTCTGCCGCCCAGTCTAGGAAAGAAACATACCGGCAACGGTTATATTGTGCTTGAACAACAGTACGCAAACCGTGTGCATCGTTGAAATGGCTGGCAAGACGGATGCAAAATCCCGGGACGGTGCCTCGAAGAAGCGGAAGCGGGACTTGAACGATAAGGAACGAGCAGCCGATGTGAAAAGACATCACAAGGACGAGAAACTCGCGAAACAGAAGGCTTCCAAGCGCGACGCCGAGGAAGCTGAACTCAAGGGAAATGCCCTGAAAGTTCTGGCCGATATCAAAGCCGACGGAGGCTCCGAACGAGTTGCCAACGACGCACCTGGAGGCCACGACAACAAGGCCCCTGCTGCCCAAGCCGTGGGGTGGAAACTGTCTTCGCCCTTGGGCGGCAGAATCGCTGACATCGACCCTGTCTTCAGCGAAGATGAGTCGTAAGAATTTTCTGTTGCATCTTATGACCCCTTGGTTCTTCTCTAACGACTACCCAGACATCTCATCCTGACCTATCAGACGTCTATCCAAGTCTATTCCGTGGCCGACTCCCTTCTTGTCCGAAAGATTCCCCTGCCCATGATCAAAGATGGAGAGCGGAAACCGACACCGTTGCTTGTGGCCACTTGTCTCTCGCGTGTAGAACCGGACTTTGTCTGGGTTGCTTGCTCGGATGGGCGTATTTGGAAGATAAACTGGCGGCACGGCTCAAGACCCGACGACACCTTGCACACGAAGTCACAGACCGCCCTGGACATGTGCGTTGTCCCGATCACGACCAACAAATCCGCTGCCGACGTTCTCTATGTATCGGAGAAACGGAGAGATGCTGGCTCGATATCTGCCTACTGCCGCAAGAATGGTTCTCACCTTGTGTCCAAGGTTCTCTTCGAAACGCAACAGCCAGACCATGAAATACATCTCTTGCGCTCAACAAGCAACGGCTCGGCATTGGTGGGAGCGCATGCAGAGGGTCTGGTAGTAGGCACAATTCAGGTTGGAAGCGCGAAAGACGGGCTCGATCTGGAGAGCGAGTTCTATTCATTCGAGACCAGCGACATTGTCTGCACCCTAGACGTCAGGTCCTCACCCCGGAAACAAGCAACGTCCACGCCCAAGAAACAGTCAGGGAGAGTAACGTCGGAAATTATTGATGTGGTCACTGGAGGCGCACGAGGTGCCATGTTGATCTACAATGACCTCCTGAACAAGTTGCACAATCTACGGGGATCCAAGTCCAAGAAGGAAGAGATCCAAGCTCGGAAGGTTCACTGGCACCGGAGAGCGGTCCATACCGTCAAATGGTCAAGGGATGGTGAGTGGCAGACCGAGGAGTACGACTCCGTCCGTAACAGCTTTCCACTAACGTACTGTAGGCCATTACATGATTTCGGGTGGTTCGGAGAACGCCTTGGTCCTCTGGCAGGTCGATACTGCCAAACAGAATCTCCTGCCTCATCTTCCCGGTAGCATTGAAAATGTCACAGTGTCGCCTTCGGGGTCATCCTACGCAGTCCACCTGGACGATAACTCGGCGATGGTCATCTCGACCTCGGAGCTGAAGCCGACAACATACGTTTCAGGAATTCAGTCTGCCGCACGTTTCACGACCCGACCAAAGGATTTCGTCGTCACAAGGCTGAGCGAAGTGTCGAGAGAAGTCCGGAAACCGATCCCGGCGGCTTTGAACCCTTTGGACGCATCGAAATTCTACGTCTGCGTTGGAACCGGACAGCAAGCTGCCATGGCGGGATCCCAGCAATCGGCACCCATCCTTCAGTCATTCGACCTCAGCCTCTTCAGGGGTATCTCCAAGCAAGCCCTTGCGAGGACGCAACCGACAGACGTCAACATTACGACCGAAGGCCATGCGATATCCGAGCCAACGATCACACACTTAGCGTTCTCCTCGGACGGTAGTTGGCTGGCCACCATTGACGACTGGAAGCCTCCTGCAAGGGACATTGAGAAGGTAGCCGCAGATGCGCAGGAACATTTCATGCAGGAACGTCGTGAGATTTATTTGAAGTTCTGGACAGTCTCTCCTGACGACAACTCGCTGGCCCTTACCTCAAGGATCAACTCCCCTCACTCGACAAGTCGACCCGAGACTGTTTTTGCTCTTGCAGCAGACCCACAGTCCGCCCGTTTCGCTACCTTGGGCGACGACGGCCTCGTTCGCATCTGGCATTGCAAGACGAGACAGCGAGACGGCCTCACTTCGACAGACGCTAAGGGCCAGACTCTCCAGTCTTGGACCTGCGCCGCCACCACGGCCCTGGGAAGCAACGTCGGCGCGGATGTCCTCGTGGCTTCGGATGGTCACCCCCCACGCAGCCGAAGTGGGAGTCTCAGCTTCTCCGAGGACGGCTCCACGCTGTTTGTCGCTTTCGGAAGCAGAAATGACGGGACGGTTTTTGTTGTCGACACACAATCGGGCCAAGTGAGGACGACGCTGGAGAACCTGTGGCGGGGAGACGTACGACACCTACGGGTCCTCTCACCCTACATCATTACGCTGTCGGATGACTTGAGGGTGTATGACGTCGTCGCGGACGAACTGCAATACGGCATCAAGCTTCCAAAACAAGAGGAGACGCTATCGTGGGCGGGATTTGCACATCTAGAGGTCGACAGACGGTCTCGGACCTTCGCCCTTGTGGCTCCAGGCAAGGAGGGCTCGCAGATGGCCGTACTGAGACCCGAGGATCCTCGAGCGCTTTTCATGGAATCGATTCCTCACAAGATCACCAGCTTGGTGTCATCGCCGAGCTCTTCCGGGTTTGTTGCTCTCGATGATGCGGCTCAGCTGTGGTCCGTCACGGAGAGTTCGGATCAGGCTGCGGTTTCGCTTTCCATGCCTCTAGAAGACCTCGGTCTAGACAAGGTGTCGGCTGATCAGACGATTGCGCACCAAGGAATTGTACCGCTTCAGCAGGAGGAAGATGGTGAATACGAGGAGGAGAACAGCGGCGATGAAGAAGTGGCAGCTGGTGACGAGATGGATGTGGACGACGGCGAAGACGATACTCATGCTGCGGTCATCAGCCGGCAACGGTTGGCCGAACTGTTTGATGCTGCTCCAGCGTTTGCGATGCCGTCGATCGAGGACATGTTTTACAAGGTCACAGAACTTATATCTGCGAAACCCTTAGCGACTTCGAGTGCCTGAGAAGTCCCATTAGGTATATAATTAGGCACCGAACCAAGACATAGCAAGCATATCTCTCTGTTCTGCTTTTCACTGTCCCAGCACGGATGCTCCTCTATGCGCCTCCAACATGGTATCCGTAATGAATTCTTAGCTGCGTTGTACCATATTGTACTAGCGTATGTACCTTAGTACACGTGTAGGCGGGGCGCGGTCCTAGGACCGGAAAGTGGGGGAGCGACAATGCGGGGCACGAAAGGGACGAAAGGCACCATGGGCCGATGTAGGCCGGTGGTCGAATTACGCCATCGCGCCGGTGACTTAACGGGACCCGTAGCTCTATCTATCACAGTTCACCATCCGACCTCGGTTTGTGGCTCTACGAAGCACTTCAACTTATCACCCTAGATCTCAACATCTACTTGCTCATTTTGCCATATTATTTACGCCCATAGCTATCTATAGCCCTACGGTTCAAAGCGTTGACTCTTCACTGTTCTTTTCGTCGCTCACCCTGCCGCCCTCGTTCCAGCCTCCAGCCAGACCTGGAGTCGTTCTCGACTCCTTGTCCGTAACGATCAAATGTCATTCACATCTGTTCCGATACTGGACTTGGCTTTGGCCAACGACCCCAAGACCAAGCCACAGTTCCTAGACGAACTCCGCCATGCCCTCATGGAAGTTGGGTTTCTCTACCTGAAGAATGTTGGTATACCAGATGAGCTGTTTCAGCGGGTGATCAAAGACGGCCGAGCCTTCTTTGACATTCCAGTCGAGGAAAAGTACAAACCCACGGAGAGAACAATATCAAGACGCGCTGGCAGGTCAGGGACGCAGCTAACTGAGATACACTTCTTACTCGTCACTAGACTCAAGATTGAGATGAAGAGGGCGAAATCATTCCTGGGATATTCACGTCTTTCGGCCGAGATTACAGCCGGTGCCGTCGACCACCGCGAGCAGATCGACCTCTCGACGGAGCACCCGGTCCCCGGACCAAACGATCCTCTCTACTACAATCTGTTAGCGCCGAACCAGTGGCCCTCACCGTCCGTGCTGCCAGGATTTCGCGAAACCTTGACCGAATACATGAACCGCATGGGTGCCATCTCCATCGACTTCACCTCCCTCATCGCCGAAGCCATCGGCCTACCAGCGGACGCCTTCAACAAGTACTTCGACCCGGACCAGCAACACAAGCTCAAGATCGTCAAGTATCCGGACCTGCAGGAGCTAGGATACGGGGACGGAGTCCAAGGCCAAGGGGTGGGCCCGCACAAGGACAGCATGCTGACGAGCTACCTCCTGCAAGCGAGCCCGCATCGCGGCCTGCAGGTGCAGAACATGCGCGGGGAGTGGGTCGACTGTCCTCCCGTGGACGGGACGCTGGTGGTGGCCATCGGGCAGGGGCTCGAGGCGCTCACGCAAGGGGTGTGCGTGTCGACGACGCACCGCGTGCTGTCGCCGCCCGCGGGGCAAGGCGCGCGGTTTTCCATCCCGTTCTTCCAGGGCGTGCGCGGCGACGCCGAATTCGAGGACCTCGAGCAGGTCGGTGTTGGGGCGGTGCCGGAGGAGATCAAGGCCCAGCGGAGGGCGGTCCTCGAGCGGAACGGCGGGGAGAGGCTGGACGACGTCGAGTTCACCTTCCGTACCGGCGGCAAGGCGCGGACGCTGGGCGAGGCGACGTTGCGGAACCGTGTCAAAAGCCACCCTGACGTAGGGGAGAGGTGGTACCCGGACATCTTGGCGGAGATTCGGGAGGAGCAGGAGAAGCTGCGACGGGAGAAGGAGGAGGCGGAGGCGCGAGCCGGGTCTGTGACGACGGCGGCCATTGGAGCTCAGCCCGTGACAGCGCACTGAGCAGGGACGCAGGGAGGAAATGTAGCAGGCAACTCAATTCGTAGGCGCAAATACATTCTCCAAGTGCCCAGAGCGAAATTTTGTTACCACTATTCCTCAAGAACCAGATCGCATGGCGTGTTCTGATTTATCTTCTCTTTCTTCCCTTTATTTTTTTCTTCTTTTGTTTCTCTCTCTCTTCTCTCTTAGACTTTTCAATGCAGTATTCGTGATTCATATTCAGTCCCATACCATATACGCCGTCGCTGAATGCCCCGCGCCACCGATCCACCCCAAATCAGTTGGGAAAGAAAATTGGCTGCCTTCCATTCTCCGGACTCAAAACCAACCACCAGCATGTGATAGTTGCGCCGCAGAGTCTATTCGAAATAAATCACCCGTCATGCAGGCGCGACAAAGCTGGGGAAACATTCAGCGAGAGTCTTCCGGTGCTTGTTGTCGGCATGCTCGGTCAAACTGCAGCCCGCGAATGTCAGCCGTCTTGACACTCTATGGTCAAGGGGGAGATGGCGCTGGAATCGGGATCTTACGCTGGTGCCTTTGTCGTTTTGAGGAAAGTGGCCTTGCAAACAATGCACTGGATATCCTTGGCCGCGGCGTTCTAAGGCGGAGAGAGGATGGGTTAGCAGATGGGGGACCTTTTTTTTTACTTTTTTTTTTTTTTTTTTTTTACAAGAGACCGAGAGGAAACGACCTAGAATGGGGAGGCAAAGAGAAGGGGGGGCAATGGTGTTGTCGCTTGGGCTCTGCACGAAAACTGAACGTACAACTTTGAGTTGGGATTTGGCGACCTTGGTGTCCTTCTGGTTGCGTTCCCGCTTCTGCTGAGCTCTCGCGCCCTGTAAAAGATGGTTAGTCTTATTCGTGGCTTGCAGTTCTCCAGACCGTATTACAATGTCTCCCCCCCAAAAGCATCAGAAATCACATGCGCTCGAATCGAAGCGATTCACTTACGTTGCCCATAGTTGTTTCTGCGTGAGTATGAGAGCGGTTTTATGTTCTTTGGTAGCCAATTTCCAGCGGGTGGGTATGTAGCAAGCGCGTGTCGATGTTCGCAAGTCGTCGGAGAAGTCGAGGCGAGTTGAAGGAGAGGGATCGGAACAAGCTGTCCCTCGTGAAACGGACAGGCTCTTTTTTTCTCCCCCTTCCGATTCAAGGTGAAGAACGGGGTCGGCATTGGCGGCAAAATCCACTGATAGGCAAATTCCGGCACCTATCATTTATGGGGATCACCAGCCACGTTCAGAGGGGTTGACGGTGTGGCTGGTACTGGCTCAGGATCAAGAGGTTACAAAGTACTTCGTACAAACCACACGGATCAGTTTCGCGTTGATACCTCGCCCCAGAGACTGTACTAATAACGAGTAGATACTCAAGGAATAGGACTCCAGACTAATAACCTCACGGGAATCTCAATTGGACTTGGTAAACCTTCGGACTGCCAATTTTAGGTCTTTGTGTTTACCCGAGCTGCTAAGTTTCTCGCGTCCTCGGTTCTGGCTTGTCCTGTTGGGAGATCGAGCAGCTATGGCGGGCAGTTCCAAAGCCGTCTGGCCGGATACACTGGACAGGAGCCAATTTGACGAGCTCGTTGCTTCATACAAGCCTCTCATAGCAACCATCTCGAAGGTTAAGGATGGTGAGTCCATCCCTGCTATCTTCCGTCGCAGTTTGGCGGATGCTTCATCCTGCCTCATCCACGCGTCTGGGGTGCAGCGTCCTAACACCGCACTCGGGTGTACTCAACAGCGAAGCCCAGCCAAAAGTCATTAGAGGAATTAGATCGATTTCGCTATGCCGAAGCTCCATCCCTGTTTTCCCAGAATCATCCTAAGCGGGCCATGAGCCACGAGGACGTCAAAGTCCTGGTGGACTGGAAGTTGTAAGGCGAGACCCGTCTCTCACTTCTATGTTCCTTGAGCGTAGCCATAGCGCGTGTCTTGGGACGAAAATTGTGCCCTTTTTCTGACTGGGAACAGGCGGCATGGCAGATTTCGACCAACCCTCATGAAGCTGGTTTCCTCCAATGACCCAGAGAATGTTGAAGAGACCATCAAACAAGGAATCGATATTTACCGAGACGAGTCGGACGCATCCAAGAGCCTCAAGATGCTGACCAAGTTGAAAGGCATCGGGCCGGCTACCGCATCACTTCTCTTAGCCGTGCATTTTCCAGACGAGGTCCCCTTCTTCTCCGACGAGTCGTATTACTGGCTCTGTAACAAGGGTCAACAGGGCCCGCTGAAGTACAACATGAAGGAGTACGAAACTCTCATCTCATCAGCTCGCAAGTTGATGAAGCGGCTCGGCGTCGCAGCTATCGACGTGGAAAGGGCCTCCTATGTTGCAATGAAAGGAGACGGAAAGCCTGTGGCAGTTGGACCTGCTGCATCGACGAAATCCAAGCTGAACGCTGGTTCCTCAGGCACCGGCCCGTCGTCTGCAAAGCGGAAAACGATGTCTAAAGATGATGAGGCGACAGAACCCCAAGAAGCCCTTCCCCTCAGGCGGTCAAAACGCGGCAGAGGTCTCACTTCCGATGCGTAACGAAGAAAGTGTCTTCAAGGTCTCTGAGCTCACGGTAATGTTGGGAGACGAACCTGCTGCCCCCACTTCTCGTAATGACAGGGCAAGGAAGCTGGTCATAATTAATAGCCAGTGGTGATATTTTGGGGAGTCATGTAATTACTTTCACCATTAGTCCGAAGAATGATGAAGAAGTGACGGGCTTCTCGCCCATGAGAGGTTGTACTTCGTAGATAACTGTGACCCTTTCCCAATTGACGATATAGGGGCAGTCGTCACGGATGCAATCTCATGGAAGAGAAGGTGAGGAATGGCATCAAAATTTGGGCCTTCGGCCACAAACATTTCGAAGCTGCTGCGAAGCGGCATCAGTGTAATTACGTATTATGTCGACAACTTGGCAGGCGTTGAGCCACAATGTAGCCACAATACAGCCACCCCCTCCTTGTTGACTAGTGCGTACCTACCTTATACAGTAACCAAGGTGAGTGCGGTAACCGTCGGTGAGGGCCACCTACTTGAGACTGGCTCCGAAGTAGCGGTGTTTTCTGAAATGAGGGCATGATCAACGATCCTGTCATATAATCAGAGAATTCCGTGTTACTGGGCTCAAATGGCTAGTAGAAAATACTACTGCAAGTCTTAAATTGAGATGCTAAGCTCCGACATCTAAAGAAGAAGTGAAAATGTCCGGAACGAAACCGCCGAGTTCGTAGGGAATTGTATCCGTGTTGTACATCCGTACTTCATAGGTACGGTGGTACCTAGGTGCCTTAAAGGACCCACATTGCACTCACCGATTGTGGGGTCATCGGCGGACCCAGCTCGTCGGACGACCATCCGAAACTTAATGTCACGTTCAGTCTTACTAAACTCCAAACTTCCAGGCCCATCGCCGACCAAGACTTTCTATTCACGCGTCTTCTCTCGTTTTAACGTTTCGTATCTCGCCTGTAACGATACCTGACGTTGGCGATTCTTATTCTACATTGAGGTTATTCGCAGCGGGGTTCTGAGCGGAACCAGCGTCCGCCCTTGTCCCGCCGTCGCCGTTTCATCTTCCTTTTTTTCTTCCTTTTCTTTTTTTCTTCTTTTTCGGTTTGGCCGCTTCCGGGGCCCTCCTTACCTTAAACCATCCTTCTCACGCTTACCATGGAGGAGAAGCGATACTCGGTCCACAACGTAGGGCAGACTCATGACTTTTACGGTTCTCATGTCGAAGATGACGGCCTGTCCTCGCCATACTCATCTGCTCCCTTCACCGATACCTCCATGACCACAACCTCCCCTGACATGTTCACCCCGCCGCTCATGTCCTTCGACCCACCCAGCATGCTCTGGACCCAGTCTCTACCGTACGATTACTCACAACAGCACCAGTTTCAGCAGAGCTGGCTCGGCCATGACATGAATTTCGAGTTACCGCTCCCCGACTCCCCTCCGCCCAAGCCTGTAGCCCCGCGTGGCGCTCCTCTGGCAACCGTAGCCCAGGAAGACCCGCCTCCTTTGCCTCCACGCTTTGCCCAGATCAAGCAGGGCCTCATCGCCGGCAAGGAAAACGCCATCTCCGACTCGTGGGACAGGCTCCTCGTTGCACTCCGAGCCGAGATTGCCTTGATTGAAGTTACCAAGTCTGACATCATCCCCTCCATCGACTTTGCCCATCTCGAAGACCGAAACAAGGTTAGCGAGTTCTCGGCAAAGCTCAAGAAGAGGGGCGCCGCCATCATTCGCAAGGTCGTCCCCTCCGAGGACGTCATGGAGTGGAAAGAGGAAACGGATGAGTACCTTTCCAGCAACCCTTCCACCAAGTCTTGGCCTACCCGGGACCCTCATCTCATGGGCATCTACTGGACCCCAGCCCAGATTAAGGGCCGCGGTCATCCAAATATTCTCGCCGCCCAGAAGTTTCTCATGAGCCTATGGCACTCCAGCGACCGAGACGCCTTGGTATCCAACAACTTCCCCGTCTCCTACGCCGACCGCCTGCGTATACGGGCCCCCGGCGACTCGACCTGGCACCTGAATGCCCACGTCGACGGCGGCAGCGTCGAGCGCTGGGAGTCGGACGGCTACGGCCGAGCGGGGACGTACCAAACCATCTGGGACGGTCGTTGGGAGGACTACGATCCCTGGGAGAGTAGCACCCGTCTAAGGGTAACCTCCGACCTCTATAACGGCGCCGGCTCCTGTTCCATGTTCCGCATGTTTCAGGGCTGGTTATCCATGTCCGACGTCGATCCATCCGAGGGTACCCTGCTTCTATGCCCTATGCTTCAGCTCGCCACAGCCTATTTCCTCCTCCGCCCCTTCTTCTCCCCGCGCGTCCCCGCCTCGGCCGCCCCCACCGCCGCCGCCTTCCTCAGCCGCGATAACTGGGCCCTCGACTTCTCCCAGACCTCCGTCATCCAGGGCGCGGTACCTTCTTACACGCAGGAGCTCAACTCCGTCCTCCATCCTCACCTCCAACTCGACAAGTCCCTCGTCCGCATCCCCCGCGTCGAGCCCGGCGACTACGTCGTCTGGCACCCGGATATGGTCTACGGCGTCGACAAGGTCCCGCCCCACGCTAAGCCCGCCACCATCATGTATATCCCCGCCTGCCCCCTCACCCAGACCAACGCCCTCTACCTCGCTCGCCAACGCAAGGCCTTCCTCCTCGGCCAACCGTGCCCAGACTTTGGCGGCGGCAAGGGCGAGACCACCCACCTCGGTCGCCCCGGAACTCAGGAGGTCAATGACGCCGGCGGGGACGAAGCCCTCCGCGCTATGGGTCTGATGCCTTGGGAGGAAGACGACGCTTCCAGTCCTAACGAGGTGGCGCTCGTCCGTTTGGCTAACGGCATCTTATTCCCAGACAGGTTTGACATGTGTTGACAAGGCAGCGTTCTTGACTTACTTTCTTTCTTTTGCTAGTCTCAATCTCGTGGATGGACAGACAGGCAGGCGTTGCTGAGGGGAATCAAGACACGTTATTTATTCATATATTTTCACTTACGATACCTCCATGTTGGGGAAAGAAAAAGCCAGAGTGTTTGGGAAGGATTGCTGCTCGGTAGGCTAGGCGTATGAAAGATGTACCGGGGTATGGGCAAAGGGGGGAGAGAAAAAAAAGTAAAAAAAGGAAGAAAAAAAGGGGAAAAAATGAAAGAAATAGCATCACACAGTTCGGAGACACGGAATTTAGGTGGAGGTCCATAATATCTTGCGCATAACATCGACCCTAGACTTAAAAGGCTTGCATTGGCAATTTACCCTGTTAACAATATCATCCACATGCCTGTACAAAATACTACCTCCAAATAACGCCACTTGATGAGGATACACTCTGTCACACCCATAATCTCGACAACTTCCCAACCAGCATTGAAATTATCCCCATGGTTCTGTTTCCGAGGCAAGTCCACACCAGATACTTTTAATCGGCAAATCCCCGCTCAACAATGACTTTTCCCACTTGGGCCCTGTATGATTCGCCCGGTCGCTGTTCGTGCCATGCCCGCAGGATATATATTGTGCACCCTGACAAGCAAGGCATCAACGTCGGCCTCGCTCTTGCAGGAAGAGGTATTGCCGCCTCCGATCTCCTGGGATGAATCCACCCCCAGAGGCTCAAGACCTTCGTTCCCGACCCGGCTTGGATTCTGGCAAGGACACTAGTGGACGACAATGTTCGTCCCCGAGGCGCGGAGGGGCCATGCAGAGGGACCTCAGGAGCCCAGGCCGGTATTTAATCGGCCTTCTTGTCTCCGGCAGGCAGTCCGGTAGCCTTCGAGTATTTCTCGCTGAGTTCATCCCAGGCTTTGTGAAGTTGTTCGCTCTGCTTCTTCAGGTTCTTGAGATCCTGGTCCTTGTGCTCGACTTCGGCGCGGAGCCGGGCAATCTCGCCCGGCTTACCGCTCATGGCAAGCTTCTCCGACTCCTTAGCGTCCTTGCGGGTGCCCTCGTAGGCCTTGACGCGGTCCTCGAGACGCATCACCTCCAGAATCATGACATAGGTCCGGTTGAGGATCAAGGAGAGGAAGAGCGTGAAACCGCACAGGTACATGTTGCGCTGGGAGTAGAACTTGCGGGCCTGGACCTCAAGTCGCTCGTGGCCCATGACAGCACTATTCGGAGAGGGGTGGTAGGGTTAGCGTTAGTGCCATACATCGGCGACCACCGGGCTTGGGGGTAGGTGGCCGCGACTGGGAAGACGAGTGGTGAAGTGCAGGGTGCATGAAAAATCAAGGTATACTGTGGCATGACATACGCATTGTTCTGCTTCTCAGTGGCCATGGCCAATTCGACCTGAACCCTCCATACGCGGTTAACGCTGTCGATGAAAAGGATAAGAATGAAGACGAATGTGATCTTCATCCAATACTGAATCTTGGCTATAACAGGGCTTTCGGAGATGAACCTGCAGATAAGAGAAACTGTTAGCTCGCACATCGACTCCGGGAATTGAGATCAAGTCTCCAAGGGAACCGTACGTAAACAGCTTCCTCTTGACAGTAAAGGGTAGCGGCAGAATCAGGAGCATGAAGAGAAGCATCTCCAGCATCAGGAGCACGAACACCTATGGCCATGGTTAATCATGCTGACCGTTGGTGCTGGATACCAATGTCGTGACCCCGAGGAGAGCCCACCGGGACCTAGTAGAGAGAAACATACGAGCGTGTAGTAGAGCGTCATTTTGATTTTGGGGGGCTCTGCCTGGCTTCTCTGCCAATGGTTGTTGTGAGGTGGGAAGAAGGAGAGGTGTTTGTTGTGGTGCGACGAAGGGGAAGAGGAGTAAGAAAAGGCGGTTAGTATGTTGTTTTGCAGAGACGACGTGAGAAAGAGTGGCCTTTTTATGGAGGACGACAGAGACAAGGTAGCTGGAGTGGAACGAGCTTGTGGAGATGTTTGGCAAGGAGTTGGTGCTTGTGCTTGGTTCTTGGTGCCTACGTGTGACGATGGGAGGGAGCTGCTCAGCCTCGACTTGTCATGACGTATTCATTCCAAACATGAAACCCCAGAAAAAAATCAATATTAGATAATCACCCAGCCCCACCATCCCGGCTTTCGGTGCAACAACCTGTGACCGGAGACATCTCTGGCTTTGGCCCTGGAATATTGTATATGTACAACTGCCACCTGAATCTGGAAATTGAATCAGAAGAAACTGACTTCGTATAAACACCACAAAAATGCATAAGTGAATTTGTTTCTTTTAATGATTAAGCCTGCTATAATAACAACAAAATCATGCCCCAACCCTTGCGCCTGCAACACCCAATATCTCTCATACTTCTGGTTCCGACCGAGACGCAGTACGTGGTACATCCCGTATCCGCCACCTGCACATTTACACAACGGATGTACCCAACAAGAAGGACTCCCGGCTTCTCTAGGTAAGGTAGATAAGTAACTGATCCCAAGCCAGCCGTCACACGTGCATGTACCGTAGAGACAAGCCGTGTCCTTTTTCTTTTCTTTTATTTCTTGGGCGAATACCTTAGGAATAGAACTGGCTCTTCTGGAAACTCTCGGCGCTCACATCCCCAATCTTGCTCTTAACCGGCTCCGGTACGCTCTCGGTGGTGCTGGTGGTCATGGAGTTCGCCCTGCTGCTATCGCTCGCCGCGGGCTTGATGGCCGCCACTGGCTGACCCGGCCTCTTCAGTACCTCGAGATAGGTAGACGGGAGGTATCCCATGCGACCGTCGCGGGCCCGGCATCGCCACCACTCGCTCGGATTTCCGATAGGATCGCACTTGCTCAGCACTGCCACGAGGTCGCCCTTGCGGACTTCCATGTCGACATCCCGCACCTCATTGCCGGCCTGTGGGGTGAAGTCGTAGAGCACACGGCAGTAGTCAAGCTTAGAAGGGTCAAGCTGCTGCAGCATGCCCTGCTCGCTGAGCCTCCGACGCTCTTCCTCCTCGGCGGAAGCGGCGAGGGCATTGATCATCTTGCGCATCAGGTAGGGGAGGCCGAAGGCGGCGAGGAGGAAGAAGAAGAGAGGCTTGCGGCTGGCCTTGGGCGGGCCGAGCGGGGTGCCGTCAGGGCCAATGGGTTGGCGGCCCTCGAACTTCGCAAATGCCGCTGGGGTGAGAGCTGTGGCGTCGGCTGGTGGTGGCCGACCGGTGAGCTTGGCGAATAAAGTCCGTAGCCAGCGCATGACGGTGAAGATTCCGAGTACGGAGCCGAGTGTATCTTTCAGGTTGCCGAACTGTTCGGCAACTGATACCATGGCTGCAAAGGATAGAAAAGTCAGCAATCCGACATTTTCAAATTTGCTGCGCCAGGATCCGGTTGGGTTGCGCCCGGGGGGGTGGATTGACTGAAGGGGTTCAACATACCAAAGAAGCTCGAGTGTGTGGCCATGTAGGTGCTCTCAAGCATCTGGGAAAACCCGCCAAAAGCCTGGACAATTCCTTGCAGCATCTGGAAAGTCGCCTGCGTGCTGTTGTTGAATTGGTTTGTCAAGCTGTTGGGATCGCCATGGGGCTGCATGCCCGGCATCCCGCCGTACATGCCGCCGCCCATGCCGCCGCCGTACATTGAGCCGTAGCCGCCATAACCACCGTACATGCTGCCCCCACCATACCCTCCATATCCACCGAGCCTCGAGTAGGGGCTGTAACCGGCGCCATAGCTTCCGTATGGGCTCGTCATGGCTGAGCTGTAGGCCGCGGCGTTTTGGTTGACGGCAGAGGCGAGGGTCGCAGGACGTTGTGGTACAGCAGGTGGTATAGATGAGGAAGCGGTGCTTGTCGAACTATGAAACGCGGAGGTGGCGGCTGCGGACGTTGGTGATGTGGCGGTGGCGGTTGTTGGTTGAGTTGCCGTCTGGGTGACAGACCTTGCGTGTAGCTGTTGCACTTGTCGCTCCCAAGGTTTAGGGGGAGATGCCATGTTGACCGGCAGTGTGCCCTGATACTCGAAGTATTCCCTGCGCTGGGTTTGTATCTGGTGTTGGAGGAGGAAATGTCTTTCTATGGGAAAGATTTGACGGACACCAGACGAGGTGGCGATTCGAAATGGAGGCTTGGTCTCCGCGACGCGTAGGCCCTTACGGCCTTGGAGGGAGTAGCGGCGACCCGTACTCTAGTTTCTTCGATGGAATTTCGAGAAGCACAAAAGGGGGAAAGTGGTCGGTTCTGGTCCATGCGAGATGGAAAAGTTGGTGAGGAGTCACAATCGTGTCGTGACCGCAAGTTGGGGGTGGAGGTGGAGGTGGTTAGAATCATGAGTCGGGACCTGAAAACCGGGGGTGGAGACCGACGACCAGTTTGTTTCTTCGTTCAATCTTGGTCCAGCGTCCTGTCCAAGGTACCTAAGCGAGCAAGGCTTTCACCTCGGGGTAAGTCTTGGCATACATTTGATTGCCCGTGGCAGCATTTGCCTCGGTAAGACATGTACCTCTAAACTTATCGGCCTCGGCTTAGGTAGCTTACATCATCAGGACGTACGGGCGTGTTCGGTTATCTGTACACGTACAAAGTATCCGTACAATAGGTACAGTCAACATCTAAAAGGATCGAAGCTGTGTACACGATGCGATTATGGAAAGTGCTTCGGTCCTTTTGTCAGACCACTGTACCTAAGGTAATGACGAACGGACTTCGTAAAAATGCAGTGAGTGAACGTCGACAAACATTGAGAGGTCGACCAGATATTGAACGAGCCCACATCCCCGAGTTCGCTCTTCCATCAAGCGAACTCCAAGACATGCCTATCAGACAACATCGAGTCGACTACTTTAGGTCCTTAAATCCTGGCGCCTGCTTCGCATACTCATTCCACGTCGTCAACTTGTCCTCCACGATGGCATGACTCTCCTCCAACCCAGCACCGCCGTAATACCCATACCGCCCTATCAGAAGCAGGGTCTCCAGCATCTCGAGCTTCACAAACTCCGGCCCCGGAAAAGCCTGCTTGGCCACCTCCGGTGCAACCTCCTGGTACGCCACGTTGGCGCCAGCCTCGGGGAACAGCTCTCGGAAGGTCGCGATGATCTCGTCGGGAGTTACGTACGCCGTAGCTCCGAGGATCTGTTTCCCGAGCACGGCGTCACGGTGGAGCACCATGCCCTTGATGAACTTGCCCGTGTCTGTCGCCGCTTCGAAGAGCGGGATTGGCGTGTTGCCGTCGAAGGGGAACCGTAGGGTCCATGCCCCGCCTCGGTCTTCGGCCTTCGCGATCATGCCCTCGGACAGGTTACTCATGTAGAAGCCTGCATGGAAGAAGGACACCGGGATGCCGAGTTTGCGGGCGTACTCCTCCACCTCCGCCTTGGAATCAAAGTGGTAGACGTTCGGAAGCGTGCCGTTGGTGAGTTTTTCGACGTGAGGGAGGGAACTCCAGACGAAGTGGTCGACACCCGCTTCCTGTGGACGAACAAGACGTACAAGGTTAGTACCGTCCCGTGCTGGGGGGGCCACGGGGGCCAGAAGAGAAAGGGGGAGGGGGGTGAGAAGGTGTCACTGCGATAGTGGGGATTACGCCTTGCCTTGGAAGCGTCAGCGAGGTTCTTGCCCTGCTGGATTTCGATGTTCTTGTCCAGTTTCTCCCAGTAGTTTGTCACTCCGAACACGGCTGAAGCTCCCGTCACAGCCTTGACCAGTGAATCTTTGTCCTCGAGGTCGGCCTGCATTCAAGATTCGTCAGTTCGTCGCTCGTGGCTCTCTCGGCAGCCGTCAACACCGCAACAACAGCGTCACACGGAGCCTCGGGGAGGGGACCGATTCTTACAGCTACCACTTCGACGCCCTTGGGAGCCAAAGCCTTGGCACGGTCTGAAGAGGTATCACGAGTCACAGCACGGACGGTCCAGTCGTTCTTGAGTTTGGGATCATTGAGAAAGATGTCGACGACGCTGCCGCCTTGTTTTCCGGTGGCGCCGAACACGGTGATAATATTCTTTGACATGATGTCGGCGTTAAATGTGTCCTGAACAGCCAGCGAGCGCAAGACACCACAGAATTGACGGTAAGCGGTTACGGAACGGCAGGGTACCTGTCTGCTAGATGGAAATCTTCTTGTTCCAGCCGGGCGAGAGCGGGAGGTAGCAGGTCTTAATATATATTACATGCATCTATCTGCAGCTGTCGGGCTAGTATCTCATGACAAGCTCGGAATCTAAGACGTCACGTCATTTGGCATCAAGAGGCGTCTATTTCGGCGCCGTAGCCCCGGCGGATATCCGCTTGGAAATCAAGCTCGCTGACGTGAGAATTTCCCCGTCTTTAGTGCAACTAGGGACGGCTCCGTTACGCATAACGAATATTTCTATTATACTATGTCTGGACCGTTGACCCCTATCCCTGAGCGAATCAGATCCATCAGAAAGATCAGAGAGCGAACTCAAGGGGGTGCAGAAAAGGTGCCGTTTAGAGTCGCAACATTCTCGAATATTCCCAGATTTGAGTAGCTATTCAAATCTTCGACTAAGCTTGGAATAAGTGCGCTGATAAATCATACATTCGCTTTCCCGCCCTTGGATTATAAATCTCACCGCAGGCCTTGGCTCATAGCCTTGTCGATGTTCTGCGGGCCTCGAACATGCAAAGCAAACCTGTCAAATACCTAAAGGTATCCAGCATTTCAGTTTCAATGGTGCCTAGAGTGAGGCTTATAAATGAGGAATCGTCATGCTCTCATATACGAGGAAGGGGCAAAAGAGAAGGTATTTTTGATTATAGATATTTGTTCTAGCAGCCTTTTCTCTCAGGGGCTTCTGGACCATTGCATTGAAGGCTAAGGTAGCCTAGACGTATACCACGCTATAGTTACATCGCTTCCAGAGTGCAAGACTTAGAACGAGAAAAGAAAGAAAAAAAGTAAAGCAAGCCATCATCATACTCATGATGTCGTGTCCAAAGGGAGCGGACAAACTAGCTATTAAGTTTTAAGATGTATATACTCATCGAATCGAAAAAAAGTGTTGCCCGGCTAGGAGGTTTCGCACTCTCTTATATAGATAGATAGGCCTCGGCTGTTGGTTTGCTTGACCCAAAGCCAGTTGCAGAAAAAGGAAAAACGCCCCGAACAAGCTCGATGTTCCGCCGTTATATGCTGCAACATTCGCCGCTTTAGATGATGGCTCCAAACTCGAGATTCCGTGGTACAAGTTGTGCATAAATAAATTGTTGGGCACCGCCATTGTCCGGCCGTTCTAGCCAGACAGCAGAGAGAACAAGCTGAGCAGACCGGAAGTCCTCTCGGTCTCGATCCAGCTTTGAACGAGCTCCTCGCCGAGGCTAGGAGAGAACTCGACGTCGTTGTCCAGAATCTTAACGGACACCTGACCGCTCGGCCCGTCAAAGATGGTGGCGACCTTGATCATCCCGTTGACAGGGCGTTCGAAGTAGTCGGACGAGCCGCCATTGACCTCGGCATGGAAGGTACTCTTAGCCTTGGTGTCGCCAGGGGCGAGAATCTCAAAGACGTCGAACTCGCCACAGCCGGACTGCCAGCAGGCGCAGTCGCCATACTGCTCAGTGCGGGGAATCTTGGCATTCAGAGTCCAGACGGCGGGCATATCACCGTTGAAGCCTCTTTCTCCATCAAGCGGCATGTCAAACTCGAAGAGGAAGACCTTGGAGTCGCCTGGGAAACCATCTAAATAATAAACAGTATATCAGCATCGGGGACTGATGAGAACAAGCAAGAGGTGGTGAAAGACATACGGTAGGCAACGGAACCGGGACGGTAGTAGCCACAGCTATTACCCTCGCAGGGCTTGTCCGAGTAAATAGCAAACTCCTTGTTGGATGGGATGAGGACTTCGTCCAGAACCTGCGGCGAGGAGGCGCCGCCGGTGGCCTTCGAGTTGATGTAGGAGAGCGAGTTGCCCCAGACACTGCAAAAGCTTTCGGTCAGAAGGCGGGTTGTGGTAGGATAAAGGGGCCCACGTCACGCGACAAGACACAGACATACCTGTCGAATTGGCCGGAACCGTCACCGCCGTAATTTCCGAGGAAGACGATGCCATCAGCAATGCCCTGCTTGGCATTGTAGTAGCCAATGCGGTTATAATCGCCAGTGGCAGTCGAGTCGGAGGCGGACGAAGTCGAGGTCGGCTTGGGAGGGGCGGGGCTTGAAGGGGCCTCAGTAGGCTCGGGCTCAGGCTCAGGCTCGGGCTCGGGCTCAGCTACGGGTTCGAGCTCCTCAGGCTTGGGCCGAGTGGACTTGGAGAACTTGGCCTCGGCGCGTTTCTTCTCGGCATGTCTCTGATGGAGATGTTGGTGACCGTGGCGGCGCGCGTGCATAGACGGCTGAGACGTGGTGTCGCGCTTGCTGATGGGGCTGACGTTGTAAACGGCGAACTGAGCAAGATTCATGGGGCCACGGAAAAGAGCAGTGAGCTGGGACTGATTAGTAGGGGCAAACCCCCGAGAGAAGAGAAGGGTACTCGCAGTGGATAGACGGGCATACAACAACAAAACGGAAGCAGAAAGAAAGAAAGAAAGAAAGAAAGAAAGAAAGAAAGAAAACAAATGAGACGTACCTCTTCGTTGAAAGGAGCCAAGGGCCCGGAGAAGGGATGGTTCTCATACTCGCAAGAACCGTCGCTGCCCATACTCGAGACGGCCTTGTAGGAGCCCGAATGGCCAACATTGGAGTAGAGAATCTGGTTGACAGCGCCACAGAACCAGTTCCCACCCTCATTCTTCGAAGAACCAGTGCACTGCTGGAGGCCCGCCACCAAGGCCGCCGAACCTAGGGCCAGAACAACAGACGACTTCATTGTAGTCTGTAGATGGGTTGAATTTCTTGCCCTCTTCTTTTGCAGAATACGTGCCAGGATATGCCGACAGGCTGGTTTCAGCGGTTTGTGTCTCTTTCGCGATGAGAGGACGGCCGAAGATTGAGTTGTTGAATATGATCCACGTGTCGAAATGAGACCCAAGATGGACAACGAGGCGGGCAGATGTGAATAATTCAAACGACAAGAACTTGGGGGAAAGACGAGAGTCGATTGACCAGCCTCTTTCGACACGACAAGTATACAACACCTACAAAGCAGTATAAAGGAGCGGATAGGGACAAGAAGTCACCAAATGATGGTTTAACGAGCGACGAGGCAGTCGTCTGGAGTCGATGAAGGGAGAGAGAGGGACAAAAGGACAAAAGGCAGAAGAAGGGGAGGAAATTCAGGGGTGGATAAGAAAGCAGTGGGGGTTCATAAGAGGTTAAGGAGTCAGGTCAGGGTAAACTTGGCATGGGCAACTCACATACCTACCTTGAGGTACCTTACCTTAGGTATGCCCAGAGCAAGGATGATGAAATAGGCAAGAGGCAAGACATGAAGGCCAAGGGCGGCGGGCAGAAATACGAGTACATAGGTACCTACCTACCTACACTGTACAATCCTGGGAAAGTGTGATGGGCAAAGGATAATCGGTGAAATGGCCAGAATAGCTTTCAATTGTCCCGAAGGGTTCGGTCGTTGATCGTATCCGGTCGGGCGGGCCATTCAATTTCCTGGCACCAGCCGAGTCCAGCAAAAGCAGACAGAGTACGTTATACCTAGCCATGGCTGGTAGATTGGAGATTGGAAGCCCAGAGGACATGGGGATGAACCCTGTGGGAGTGAGATGAGATGAACCAGCTTGTTTGGGTTCTTTCGTCTTCCCATTTTCCTGAAAAGAGACGCGATGGAGGGAGGATGTGAGGAGGGAGTCGCGATACGCGATACAACGTACATTGTACGTTTATATTCTCCATTTCCACACTAAGTAAGTACCTACCAATTGGGTTGGGAAACGCAACCTTAACCTCTCGGCAGGTGCGACCGAGCTTCCCCCTTGTCCCCGCATGCTCTCCACTTCCTCAGGTCCCTGGGCCCTGTGGTTGGCTATGCTACCCACGGCCCAGGTACGCCAAGCAGGCCAAGTTATTGCGCTCGAGAGGAAACAAATCCCCATCTCCTCCAACCAGTCTTCCGCTCCCCGCCCCCCGTGTCCTCGAGGCTCGCCGTATTCCAGAGATTCGTGTGCTTGGTAGATATAGCTCTTTCATCAAGCATACCATCTTCGACAAGATAATAAACACGTTTCTGCAGAGTCCGTCCCTACACGCGTCTCTCCGTCGTTCCCTCTCCCTCTCGCTCCGAGATAGACGGCCTCGCAGAGGTCATGTCTTCAATCACAGCATCACGGTCAAGGAACATGGCTGCCAATGCCAGTAATTACCGCTCGACGGAGGTGTTCGTTCCTTTAAACATCATCAGAGGCATATGACAGTAGGATACTCTGCAACAGTCTTTCTGTGCCAGGGCCAGCCAACCCGGCTTACCATGGATGTGCTTCCCGATTTTTAAGCAATTCGTGCTGCCCATGCCAATGTCAACGCCAATGTCAACGCCAAATCAGCCCACTGGACGGACCAAAGGTCAATGATGTGCCGATATCCTGGCCTTCTTTCCCCGACGTCCAGACCGCACCGCCCTACCTTGAACGTTGCCATCTCCATCTTCTTCTTCAGGCCCGTTACCATCTGCAAACTCGTCCACACCATCATCACCCCCCGTAGCCTGTCCATCCCGCTTTCGCTTCCCTTCAGTCCTGGGCCCTGTAGTGGTGGGTTCCGACCCGGCAATCTCGCCAGAGGTGTCGCCAGAGGCCAACGAGTTGATACCCGCATTGGCTCGCAGTTTGTTCACCGCCTGTGTCATTCTCTTGCTCGTCTTGGCTGCCCTCTGCCGCGGCGCAAACGCCTCCTTCGCACCTACCCCGACACCTCCTTCGAAGTATCTCGTGATGTTAGATTGCGTCCCTTCCACGTCTCGACGGTTCATGTCCCGAATCACCGGCACCAGCACTTCGTCGGTACGCTCCTTGCTCCACCCGATCGTGGACATGAGGAATCGCCGAAGCCCCTCCAGGTCCGGGACACCCCACTGGAATGCCTCCGGGGTGTCGTCCACCTGTGGATGAAGGTATGCCTCGTGCACGGCCGGGTTCGGAAACCCTACCGGCAGGAACAGCTTCGTCGCGTTGCTCTTGCGAAACTTGCGCCGGAACGGGTTAGAGGCGTCTTCCTCCTTGCTCCGACGCTGCTGTTGCACCTCCGCCCACCAGTCGCGAAACGCCGCGAGGCCGCCCTCTGATGGCGGGAACTCGGACAGGATCTCGAGCGCCGTGACCGGACCGACCCCCGACAGTCCGTCCGTGTAATCCGACCCCAGGAGGAGCGCGATGGAGATGAGCTGTTCGCGCGAGAGGGACAGCTCTTTCTCCAGGTCGGAGGCGAGGTAGCACTCGACTAGCTTGTTGCCGTTGAACATGTTCTTGTAGACACGAGTGCCGCCGAACAGGAAAATGTCCGAGTCGTCCGTCACAATGCCGTCCACAAGCCCGAGGTGGACCAATTCGGCGCACTGTGCTTCCGCTTCCATCGGAGCCATGATGTAGGGGATCCCGAAGAGACGAAGCAGATTTTGGCACTCCGTGATCATGACCTGTGTGACTTCGTCGGCATCCCTGCGGTCCTTTTTCTGCTGCGTGCGAAGGGCCCTGAGCTCCTTTTCGTACGCTTCGCGGTTCTCCTTTTCCGACTTGTTGTTGAGCGAGCTCGCGAACCTGGCATGTTCCTCCGCCTCCTTTGCCAGGTTCGCAAACAGCTCCTCATCTTCGGGGTCGCTGTATTCATCAACATCACTGTCCCCGAACAAGTCGTCGTACGCTTTGTCATTCAACTCCTGCTGGGTATTGGCAGGGTTTTCCGCAGGCCGTGAAACCGTTGCATGTTCCAGCGAGACTTGCAATGAATCATCCGCCGATTGGGGCGTCGGCGGGCCCATGTTAACATCCTCCATTTCCGGCTCGGGCGAGGAGTCTGGCAACTCGGTCACCGTGACTTCATCCTGCTCAGACTCTTGACCGGGGATTTGGATATCCTCAAACTCCGGCTCGGGAGATGGCGAAGGAGAAGGCTCCACAATTGTGCTGTCCTCTTTACGCGTCGGCACCTCGGAAAGCGCCTCCCCCTCACTCGGCGGCTCCAAGTTGGTGGTGTTTCTTTCGTCTGTATAGGTTCCTGCACGAGAAAGGGGTACCGTATCCAAGATTTCGACCTCGCTATCGTCGTCAGACGATGATTCGATTTCGATGGTGTCGACTTTACGCTGTCGTTGAAACTCCATTTCTTCCTCCAAAGCAGTTTCTCGATCCTCCGCGTTGATCTCAGCTTCAAACTCTTTTTGCTTCTTCATTGTCTCCCGGATGTCCGTATGGTCCGTCATCCATGGAGGTAAGCTACTCGGCGCATCTTTGTCCGGTTCTCTCTCAAATCCACCTGCCAAATCATCAAGGGTAGCATCGTCGTGCCCCAGCCCCGTTTCGGCGGCTGATTGCGTTGGTTGGGCGTCGGGATCGATTTTGTTCGCTGCTGCCGCTTGCTGGGACTTGTTGGGGAAGAGCGAGAAGCCCTCGAGTTTTGGAAAAGGCAACGGTCCGTCAAAGGGATTCTTCAGGTTTTTCGGGGCAGCAGGCTTTGGCTCGGCCGCCTTCCGTTTTCTGGCAGCAAGCAACGCGGCTTGAAAATCCAATTCACTCTCGCTGCTACTTGCGTCACTCTCGCGGCGCTTGGGTACCGCTGCATTGGACCTGTTGTTGACAATGTGCGCTACCATGCGACCACTCGTGCTCGTGAGTGGGTTCGACTCCGGTACTGCTTTTTGCGTCCACTCTGGGGTGAGCCTGTCGACTTCGTCGAAGACCTCATCATCCACTTGGCGCTCGCCATCGATTTCATGCTGGTTCTTGAGTGACAAAGCGATTGCCCGTTGTATGTCTTCTACTTCTTCTTCTTCTTCAGAATGCGCTCTTGGCTCGGGACCCTTCTCAGTAAAGTCATCGAACGACACGTCACCATCCACAAACAGCGACTCTTCATCACCCACAGCTTCAGCGCCTCTGCTTGACGGCTTCGGTAGCCTATTCAATCCCTCGATGGGAACATCCTCAAAGTCGTCATCATCTTCTCCCTCGGTCTCTTCGTCCTTGTTCTGATATTGAAATTCCAACGCATCGACATCGATGGGCTTATGCGCCTCGCCTCTGTCTTTGTCCCTGCTAACAACCCCGAGAGCCCATCCGCCTTCTGCACCCTCGTTCTTCACCAGGATATACTCGCGATCCTTCTCGCCCGCGATGCGCCCTCCCCCGGTAATGGTAAGATCAAGGCCACTCATGCCCGCCTCTTTCATGAGTCTTTGCGTGAGGTTGTTTCGCTCTCGCACTCTCTCGATCTGAAACTTCGAAAAAGCCATGCGATCCGGAAACATGTCGTCTAGCTGCTCCTTGCTCAAGCCCATCCTCAGACGGCTGCGCAGTCGCGCAGCGTTGAGAATATTGTACCGATCGGCGGATGGCAAGCTCTTGAAGAACTCGCCGTCAAAATCGATCTTACTGAAGTCGTAGAGATTGATATCCTCGCCGCTGTTGAACTGCCGGGCGTACTCCTCAAGCTCCTCCACACTCATGACCCTTGGATCGTCCGCCCGCGCCATAGAGGAAATGTCACCTTCGAGGTCAGGCAGATGATATTGATCTTGCTTGTGGAACTTGCGTGTCCTTTGCCGCTCCTGCTGCGACATGCCCACCTCGGCCTCGTACACGAGCTTGTCCGCGCTTGGTATGGCCTCCTCTTCTTCCTCTGCCGGATTCGCGCGTTCCTTATTCAGTCCCCTCTCCGCATCCCGCCTCCTCTTCTCCGCTTTTTCCTCGGCAATGCGCTGCATCTGTACGGCGAGCAACTTGCCCGCCGTGCGGACGGCATCCTCGCGACGGCCCTCGCGGCGACGTTTCCGGCCCAGGATGGTCTGTCGCTTCAAGGCCGGGGCGCCGCCATCGAAGACGAAGACGGGTCGGATGCCAAACCACAGGAGCTTGCATATGCGGCGGAAGAAGCCGACGACGTGAGAGTTGCGGAGCGCGTGGCCCTCCTTGTCACGGACGGCTTTGAGGAACTGATAGATCCAGATGGACGCATCGACTGCGAGTCGTTTTCGGTTGAGAGTGGCAAGGTTTGTCGGCCGCGCGCAGGGTTGGATTACCGTCCAGAGGCCGTTCACACCCATGGCGGTAGAGTGTGGAGGTCGTTACGGGGAGAGAAGGTTGGGCGGGGGGTGAGGGGGGTGGGAGTTCAAGCAGGATCGGGTCTGGTAGGTATGCACCTGTGGGAAAATGGAAAGAGAAGTGGCCTTCTCATCGGTATGGTTGGGTTCTCATAATGATATAAACCTTTCGAGGAATGATTCAATCGAATTGAAATGTTGCTCAGAATGAGTTGGTTGAAAAACGTGACGAAATGTCGCCGTTGTGCTGGTAACTTCGAAGACCCGATGCTTCACGGCTGCCTGGTTAGCTGCTCTTATCAAGCGTATCTTATCAACCTGGAAGTTATCAGGGTTATCGATAAGGTCCACATAATCTCACCCCACCATATGGTACCTTAGGTAAGGTAAGGTTACGGGAGTCGCGTTGTCTGCACTCACCTCCACGACGACCTGTGCTCGCTCCTCACTACGTATCCACCGTAGGGACAGATACTAATTGCTCTCGGGAGTAATTGCTCTCGGGAGTCACCACATGCCCGCAGGGGAATACCACCCCAACAACGTCACTGAACCCATCATAGCAGCGTTGTTACCTGTTTCTCCGAAGGGAAGTGACTTGGACGACCATGGATCAAAACGAAGCTAGAGAATTCCTCACCTCTCTCCTGAACAAAGTCTTCCGCGTCACCACCACTGATGGCCGGACCTTCGTAGGGGAATTCAAATGCACCGATGCCGTAGGCCTTCCCTTGCGATCCGATAGCTATATTCCCCCTTCATATAATAACACATCCGTCCCTTTTTTTTTTTTTTTTTTTTTTTTTGCTCGCCTACCCCACGGACGTTTAATCCCCATGCTGACCCCTGTATCCTGCGCTGCACGCGACACAGCAACCAAACGTTGTGCTCGCAAATACCCACGAGATCAGGCGGCCTACGGAACAGCACTTGGCCGATGCGGCAGCTAAGACGGAGCCCGGAGCGATGAAAGTGAAGATGGATGTGATGTCGCGCTTTCTCGGTCTCGTTACGATCCCGGGGGAGCATATCGTGAAAATGGAGGTTGAGGAGTTTGCAAGCCAGGTGAAAGGGAAAAACCCTTATGCATTTGCTGCTGTTATCTAAAAGGAGAAGATGGAAGGAACGGCGTCGAGAGCTCTTTGATTTGACCGATGGGTCGGTCTAAAGGCAGCCCTGGGAGCTGGGAGCTGGCACAAATCAATGATGGCCAAACGAGCCGGATAGATTCAACTGACTGGCATTAGTTGCTAGGTCCTATACACAACGAAGAACTGCAGAACGGAAAGTAAAATACAGATGAACCACGCAAAAAGGTCGTGCATCATTGCCCTCCCAACCTGGTTACCGAATCCAGGGCCATCTCTCAAGTCAAAAGCGTTGGGATATTTTCACCGCCGTCGAACACCAAATAGTCATTCCATTATTTGCGGACCACCCGAGCTCTGTACCGTTGCCTCAAATTATCCCTTCGTTGAATTCACTTTGTCCACGAACATGCCCAGCTGCCGGGTGTAGTACATTCGAATCATGGGGATTTTAGATTATGCGGCGATGACCTCCTGCTGACGTCCCCTGGTCTCGCTATTCAAGCCTCCGTCGCTTTCCGGGACTGAATCCCGGTGGTCAGCCTCATCCAGCTCTTCTTCGTCGGAATATTCCTCCATATCCTTGTTGCGGGACGCAGGCATCCATGAGGAGTCATCGTTGAGAGGGCGATCCTGCGCTGAGAGGTCATGCCCCTCCATCGCACGGGTTTTGTTCATGTCGTTCAGGTTGTTCCGGCGGCGCTGGGACAGAGTGCGCGATCGGGTAGACAGCTTCGAGGACACGGCAGCGTTCGAAGAGACCCAATTGGTCAGGGCGTCCTCGCAGTCCTGGATGATGGCTTTACTGGCCTCATAGCCATCATACGCCTGGCGGGTTTCGCCCGGTGTCACGGGGGTGTCGTCAATGAGCTCGAGCAGGTGCTTGCCGTAGCCGGCGATGATGGCCACCTTTTCGCAGTGCTCGCGCAGGGCATCGAACTGGTACGTGTATGCAGCCTTGATCTTCTCGCGCGTGATGTTGGAAAGCTGCGCCTCGGCGACGAGCGACTCGGCCTCGGCTCGAACAAGCTCCTGCTCCAAAACGACAATCTTGGGAGAATTGGGCTCCTTGTATTTCAGATGGGCGATTTGATCGGTAATCTTTTGCTTTCCTGGAAAGCAAATCAGGTTGAGACGGGACCAACGAATTGTGAGCAGAGAGCAGAACAGCTGGTACTTACGGTCGCGACTGGGTTGAACGGACGCCTCGATGTTGCGAATGCTTTTTATAGTGACTCGATACTGGTCGTACCGGTCGACGTATTGATCTTCAAGCTCGCCGACCTCGTAGAGCAGAACACCAAGCTTGTCTGTAATGTCGGACACGTCCTCGTCGCCGGCCTCGCCCCACAGAGAAAGTTGTTGCTGAAATCATGGTTGGTTAGAACGGGAAGAACAAGAAGTCCAAGTAGGGACGGAGGGAAAACCCACAGCAACGTCCATCCGTTCTCTCGCTACAGTTTCGAGGCTGCGCATGACGTTTTTCTCCATCTTGACGAGCTGGGACAGCTTCTTCGCAAGGTCCGGGCCAAAGGCACCGGCGGACCTGTGGCGGAGGGCATGGCCTGCGATGAGTGCCCGATCAGTCCATGAAAGTTCGGCAGGATTCCCATGTGGTATTGGTCGCGGCGAAGCATGCGCCAAAAATAAAGAAAGAAAAAAAAAAAAGGGGGGGGGGGCGGGAGGAGAGAACTCACCGAGGCTGCCTCGGCCAAACAGGCGTCCAGACTTAGTCGACGATGGAGGAGGAGGCGGGTTCTGCAAAGATCCAAGTCAGATGGCTTGTCGCATGGTTATCTGAGGGTCTGGGTGCGGCGACAATCGGCGCCGTGAATAGCTACGTACTTGGATTTGGGAAGCGGTGGGCGCCCTCGTCTGGCGCATAGAATAGGTGCGATGCATGGCGATGAAGCTAATTAAGGGTTCGACGTGGTCAGGGTGAAAAAGCCGAACAATCGAGGTCTTCTCGAATGGGGAGGATGAGGATAAAAGAGAGAGAGAAAGAGAGAGTTTGCAGTGCGGGCGAAGTCTGATGTGGTGTGAAGCAATGATGATACGCAAAGGTTTCCGATTGGGGGGGCGGCGTAATCGCTTATATGGCTGCCTCTGGGTTGGGGGGGAACGGGGTTCGACCCGACCTGCGGGTGGGTGAGGTACCTAGGTACCCATAAGGGTAAATACGCCGCAGGGTACATGTTTAAGGTACTCAGTCGGTCGAGGGCAGCTGGGGTCGACTTTGTGGTTGCCTGACGACGTCATTGGAAATCTTAAGCACCCGTCTCAGCGGGTAAAAAATGGGGTCGACATGCGAGGTACTGTACGAAGTACTCCTGAGATGACACCCAATTAGGTATCTTTGCAGGCCGGATGCTGGAAATTGACCTTACCTTAGACAGAAGGGAATGGGATAAGATACTCGAGCGCATTTTCGTTGGAAGTACCACTGTCCGCATCCGGTCTTGAAAACGAACGCAACGAATTCAAACACCCCCTACCTTATCAAGCGCCACTGAACTTAATCCGGATACCTACCCATTCACTACCTTATGGCAGGTAAGGTAATCGAATGCGGTCTTTGCATCGTCAGTGTTAATAAGTCGACTACGTATATTTTCTTGCTTGCTTGCCTTCTTCCCCCCTAATCTGTCTGGAATGTCTAGATCGGGCCCAGCCAGCGAACCAGGCAAAAAAAGCTCAGCGTGAACTGCTTCGTACCAATATAATAAGCGGGTAGAGGTAGACATGTGGTATGGTATTCATCTTCGGTATTGAAAATCGACGTGAGGTTGCCGAGGCCTTGCCAGTGCATCTTATTACTATTGCACTAACCTCACGTTGACAGTGCCACATGTGGGCTCTATCCGTAATTAATTATAGAACGTGACCCAGTTACTAGGGATACGTTGTTTTATAATGCGACATCTTGAGTAGGCCCCGAGTTCCCAAAATTGGCATAGAAGCTGACGGGATTTGTTTCCTGGACGAGCTGCAGGGGCTGAGCTCGGAATCCTTCTTCACCACTGCCTAATTATCTTGACATAAGTCCTGACTTGTTTGTCTTGGAATCAGTCTATGCATGAATTGGCATGCTTTGCAACTCTTAAACACCTAACGACTGAATTTATGAGAGGGTAACATGACATCATCATGGCAGTGAGACTAAAAGTAGCTGGTCGACTTGAGACACCGGGAAAAAGATAGGCTCAAATAATGCTAGGGAATATATACATCCCACTATCCGTAGCTGAGGTACAGGCTACCATAACGGGGCAGTTTCCAGGGCTTTGGCGGTTACAGCAGTTCGTCACTCTTGATTCTTACAAGGATGAAAAAAAGAAGGGGATCAAAGGGGGAAACAACATGTGAGGGGCAGAGAATGTTTGAAGGTCTATACCGTTTTCAGTGAGGAGAGAAAGAAACAAACCAGACATGCCCATGCACCGTACCCGTACTTTTGGGTCAAGAGCACATTCTGTCAAGGCACTGTAACTGTAACTCAGAGGCTTGAGCCGCTGTTTCCTAGCTTTCGAGTGCTGAAGGGGGAAGCTCTGGGACCAACCAGTGGAGGGGACATAGCGCTGGGTCACTGTCTTATCGGTACACCTGATTGGGTACCTTGAGGGGGCCTGGATAAGGTAAGGTAGGTAACTAAGGTACATTGATACTCCAGTATGAGCCCCAACACCATTGAACCATTGAGAGACGCGCTGCTGGTCTTTTTTTCTGGGGGCGGGAAGAAACTTGCCAAACGCGTCTAGGAGAATCGAAACCGAACCTCATTCTCACCCTCACCCTCACCCCCACCCCTCATCCTCATACCATACCGCATCACTTCCACCACACATTCGCGACGTCCCACCGTCCACCGTCCAGGGACACTGGCGTAGTTCTCGCGAGACTTGCGACACGGGGGTGTAGGCAAAAGCGGCAACTGGTTCATCAAGCTTATCAAGCACACAGAGCAAGCATTGTCTCTTCTCCGGATAATTAACCCTTCAACATGAGATGTTGCTGCCAAGACTCTGTCCTTCGTCGTCGAGGTTGATTGCTGATGCGCCATGTCGCCGCCTTTATCAGCCGGACAGTCTACTCAATCGCGGCGAGAGTTTGGGGCCCCCACCGCCAATATCTTCCGCAGAGCCAGGTTCACGCCACATCTTGACCTCACCACCGATGCTACCACTGAGGATGGGCAATCAGACGCTAGGCTGCCGATCTATTTCGGGGACGCCAGACGACATCCCGGCTTTGGATGGGACACTTTGAAAAGCCGCGATCCCAAGTCGACCATACGGAGGAGCTCCTCCAATGTGCAGCTGCCGCTGCAGCCTCGTAAGCCAGCACCGCTGGACAATGAGAAAGATACCGATGATAGCAGCAAGCCTGTTCAGGGGCGTGATGGGGCGCGGCATAAGGAACGTGAACGTCACGTCCAAACTCAAAACAGCCACACTCTCGCTTCCTTTGTGGTCGAGTCAACGGCAACTCCGGCGACGGAGCCAGGTAGTACCACGTCTACGACAACTTCAGCGAATGGAGCACCAACGACACGCGCTGCTTTATCACAAAATTCTTCGTCGAGGCCGTTACCCACCAGCAAGAGGCCATCAGTCTCGCCCGCCCACCGCCACCCTTTCTCGGCCTCTTCCCGCTCAGGACCATCCGACGTTACCATTGCCCGTGGCGGCCGAGCCAACCTCCTATCTGCTCCCTTCTCTACCTCTACCGCCGCCTGGCTCACCCAGCAGCGCTCACGCTCTTCTCGTCTCGCCAACCATGCTGCAGCAGGATCGGTTCCATTCCTTGGGTCATCGTTAAAACCCAAGACGCAAGCATCGAATTTGCCTCAGCTCGATAGCACATCCGAGGGAAGTGCAGCCCTTTCTCAAGTGCGCTCTCAGTCACCGATTCATGATTCGTTTCTTCAAACGGAGACCACCCCTCCGGCCTCGTCTTCTGGCTCGGAGCCGAAAACTCGAGGCTTGCCACCGCGAGATACCTCGGACATCCCAGCCAATCTAGAGATGGGCAAGAAATCCACCCCTAGGAAGGCGTGGACCGTTGAGCGTCTCACAGAAGCCTTGGAGCAAAGATCGAGGGAAATGAAGGGGTCCCATCGGGACCTTGTCGCCTTTACTCTCAAGTCCGCCAAGCCGGTTGAGAGGCGCATCATGACGGGACAAGACTGGTTTGCCGGCCTCAAGTGTGATCCAGTCCCTGCAGAGGAGCCTAAAGACGACAGCATGTTCAAGATTAAGGTGAAAGTGAGTTTTCTTCTTTTTTTCTTCTTTTTTTCTTCTTTTTTCTCCCCTTTTCTCCTTTCTTTTTTCAATGTCAGTTCCACGATCCGCCGTGCTTCTGCCCCTAGCACGTAGCCGAGCTGACACCCGTATTTAGCATCACATACGTGGCAAGAAGGATCAGCGTGTCTTTCACTTCAGGGTCATTTGCATCAAGACGGACAAGCCGCGCGTGCCCCAGTATCGCTTTCACCACAAAGAGATCGCAAGAAACGTCCTCACTCCGAACACGATGCTCAAGTTCGTTCCCCACATCCGGGACCTGGATCCGAGCGAGGAGCGCGAGTATAACGTGTGGCTCAAGCAACTGGAACGAATGGATGCTAGCTGCGGGTTCAAACCCATGGGCACTAGGGAGCAGCGCGTCATCCGGACGACGAAGAAGGAGAGGACCGCCATGGTGGCGCTCTATCTACCCGACTGGCTCGAGAAGCTCGCCATCGACGGGTGCACCCGATCAACCTTGATCCGCCACATGGTCGACACGGGGTCCGACATTGACATGACTCCGCAGCAGAAATCGAGTCTGTACCAACTTCATAGCGATAACGACCCCGTCTCCATTTCGCCCAGGACGGGCCGGATCGCAGCCATGTTCACGGAAGCCTTCAATAGGGTTTTTCACGACAGCGCTCCCCCCGACAGGGCGATCACCTTGAAAGATATCCTCATGCTCGACAAGGGCGTCGACGACATTGTCGAGGCGAAAAAGACGGCCAAGAATGCGACGCAGGAGGATGCGGTGAAACCGGACGATCCGCAGACTTTCCTCGAGACTTATTCCATCATGGGGTGTCTCATCTGCTTCAGCAACTCCTGCGAGCATGGCGACTACGGTGTGAATAACGAGAAGAGGAATTTCTCCCTCGACTGCAACGGCCAGCTGGAGCAGCCTCTAGCCAAGTCGAAGGCGGCCATGGAAAAAAGAGACCGCGACGAGACCGTCATCGAACCCTGCTACAGGGACTGCTTCATGACCCACGGCCCTGCAGATCACGGCGGATCACGGCCCTGGACCAGTGACGAAGAAATGGTGCTCAAGACACTTTTCTCGGTAGTGGAATGCAGCAGCAGGGTTACATCAAAGCCCGAGTGCATGGCGGCAGAGATTCTGGATCGCAGGTGCTGGGATGTTCGCCGCCAGTTGGTCGAACTGGATGTGTCCGTTCCCGAGGACGACTCGCCCAACGCCTCGCTCCCCCAGGCTAAGGTTCTGCCCTGGTACGATCGTCATAGGAAAGTACTCATTGGCGACTGGCAAGATCACACGAAAACCCATGATCACAAGTCGCGGGTGCTCACTGAGCCCTGCCACCACGAAGGCCCTTGTACCCTCGCCAACGGCTGCGATTGTGTGGCAAACGGCCTGTTGTGCGAACGGTTCTGCCGCTGTACGGTGGAGAATTGCTCTTACAAGTTTACCGGGTGTGCTTGTTCGGGTACCGGGAAGACGTGCCAGCAGAGGCAGTGCATCTGCGTACAACTGAACCGCGAGTGCGACCCGATGCTCTGCGGCAGCTGCGGCGTGGGGGAAAGGACGCTGCCTAAGAATCGGGAGAACGATGAGCTGATGGAGACGGGATGTCAGAATTGCTACTTGCAGCGGGGTAGGAGCAAAGCCCTGGCCCCCGGCAAAAGCCTACTCGACGGATGTGGATACGGGCTGTTCGCTTTGGAGGATATCGCACAACATGAGTTTGTGATAGAGTACACGGGCGAACTCGTCATGCATGACGAAGGGGTGCGACGTGAGGCGCGGCGCGGGGAAGCCTTCGACAAGGGCTCGTTTACTTCGTACGTCTTTAGTCTCCTGGATGCCGAAGGAATCTGGGTCGATGCCGCTATCTACGGGAATCACAGCCGCTACATCAACCACGCCCAGGACGCCTACAATCTGGAGCCCAAGATCGTGTACGTCGGTGGCGAGTACCGCATCCGGTTTACGGCAATTCGCAACATCCAGGCGGGAGAAGAGCTCTTCTTCAACTACGGAGACAGCTTCCCCAACCTGACCAAAAAGATGATCAAGGATAAAACGTCAGAAGACGATGCCCGGGCTGCCGAGGGGTCACCCAGCAGAAAAGAAAAGGCGCGCAGTAGGCCTGGTGGGAAAGGCGCCGGGAAGCCCAGAAAGAGAGAAAAAGAAAAGGAAAAAGAGAAAAAAGAAAGGGGAAGAGAAGGGGAAAAGCCAGGCGCTCGAAAAGAGGCCCCTCCAACGGCGATGGACGACTTGGGGGAGCTTACTGAACTTACTGAACCCCCTGCGAGAACCCGAAAACGCAGACGACGAGTGGGAGAACCCGAGGAGGACGAGGGAGCAGAATACCATCCTTCCCAGGAGGAGTCGGAGGGAAGAGCAGGTTCGACGGGGTCGCCGGTGTTACCGCACCGACGGCGTGCCCGGCGGAGGCTCCGCAGTCCGAGTGCCGGCTCCGCGGACGTAGACAGGCCAGAGCTCCCCGCAGCGAGGCCAGACAAGGACGGACAGGGTGAAGCGCCGAAAAGTTTGGCATCGACATCGCAGGCGCCGAGCACACCGTCCCCCAGGGCGAGGAGGCGCGGCCGACCCCCTAGGCCGAGACACGAAGGCGTTGCGAGTCCCGAGACGAAGACAACGCTACAACGACCACCCGGCCAGGGTCATCAGCGGGGACGGTTGGCGTTCGACTCGGAGAATCCCAACGGACCGAGGGAGGTAAATGGGGAAGCCGACAGGTCTTCTCTTTCCTCGCGGATGCGACGAGGCCGGAGACGAATTGCCGAGGACTCGGACGACGACGGAACAGGACGCCCGAGAACGGCAGATTCCACACTGGAGGTGGACGATAGCTACGACTCGCAGCTGGGCGCGCCTCCGAGTGTCTCTCGATCGAATAGACCGAGGAAACGTCCTGCACGGTATAGAGAGGAGGATGCGTGATGGTCTTCCGAAGGAAAACGCCCCGGTCCTGCGCGCCATAGGGGATCAGTATGGGGAAGATAATGTTGGCTTGTTGGCTGCCCTTCGACTCTCCGGAAAACCCCAACCCAGCCCAACGCAGGCCCTCCCTTGGTAGATAGGTTGTCTTATCAGCCCACGACGGCGCAAAGCGTTGGGTCGCGTACAAGGCTGAAGCCGCGCACGTCAAGACGGCAAGGGGAACAAGGGTTTGGGTAGGGTAGGGAGACTGGGCTGTTGTATTGTGCATCCCTTAATGGCTGTGCCGTTTAATCATGGTTCTACATGGCTTCCTGGAAACTCTCTTCCCTCGTAGCATGTCCGAGGCGATGCCAATGACGTATTGTACTATAGCAATCAAGTTAATAAAGACATGACATCCTTGCCAAGCTACTAGTTATGATGTGTGCATCGGCTTGACGTCGAGAAACATCACTTAGTGAGCGTCAGCAACCAACGGGGGGCTACAACTTTAAGGAGCTATATTTGAGTACCTAGGAAGCTTAGACGAAGGATAGACACATGTATGGTTTGAAATAACTTTGACTGCGCAGTTCTATTTAACACATTTAGACCGACTTTAGACCAACAGCAAACATGTTCTTCCGCGGATCGATGGCTACGACGGTGGTTAGGTCAGGCATCTCGCCGTGGGTATCATGCTTTGGTCTCGACAACACATAGGAGAGAACTTTCCTATGGTCTCTGCTTCTTTATATCATGTCTGGGGGTTTTCTTCTGTAGGTCTACGTATATTTTTTTCTTCTTTTCTTTTTAATAGAGAGCCCGCGCCGGTGAATTCCCTCGTCAACGTAGGAACAGGCTTATTACAGACGATATATTATTACTTCCTATCATGTTCATGTCCTTTTGGGAATATGATAGAGTAAGGTATCCTCTAGTACTATTAATGAATGGGATAGCGTGTTGAGACTTGTAGTCGACCATGGAAGCATTCCCTTTATAACAGAGTCTAAGAATTCAGAGACAGTCGTTTCAAGAAGCACGAGGCTCGCCGCAGCTTGACGAGTGGTATAACCCCGACACTTTCCCTTTTTTATGCTACTACTCGGCGCACAAGAGACAGCAGAGAAGAGGGAGTTTCGATATTTCCAGTAACTCTGTCATAGTAGGCGAGGCAACAGTCAACACAGCACCTACGCCAAGACACACTGGACTTTCAGGACTCTTCGAGTCGGGACTGCATCTGCCATCAAAGAGAGAAACACACCCGTCTATAAATCAACCTCTCTAGAACCTCTCTAGACTTACTTTCTCAAACGAGAACGAGTTGGAGGCTTCGCTTATGTCTAGAGAAGCTCCTCTGCTTGAAACACGGCCCGTTCAAGATGGAGAATATATATATATATATATATTTGCTCTCAGGATGTCACGGATCAGAGCAGCAATATCAGCATTCCAATCAACTGCACCAACTAAATCCTGCTGGCCCGATTTTACAAAAGGAGGTGCGATACACAGAGAACCCCCTGGTTTATTCAACATGGCTCCCCTCGGCCGAAAGAAGACCATGTCCAAGAAAAGACACAAGAAATCCAAATCCCCTCAACGCAGAGAAACGCGCCCGTGCCCCATCGAGAAGGGTTACCGAAAGCACCCCCCGCCGTCTAAAGGTCCGCCCAAGGGAAGAACTCCCGCTCCGGAGCCAGTACCCAAGCTAAACGACCTGGTTCCCATCTCCCGGCCCGAGTCGGATGCCTGCAGCCACAAGAAATTCCCCAAGCCAGTCGTCTCGCCCGGCTCGGAGAAACCCCTGATTGAGCTGGAACTCGAGTCCTACTCGGCCAGCGACTTGCTCCGCCTGACTATAGAGGCACACCGCTGCATGGTTGAAGTAAAAGACGCGGAGGCTAAGGCCAGGCGCCGCTTCGCCAAGCTATATACCGACTACGTCGACACCGCGGCCTCGACTGCCGACCAAATTTCGCATGCCGCCTGCTTACCGCTCAGAGCAAAGGAAGATTTCCTCCAGGAGATCATGGGCATGCTCGACGAGAGCTTCTTCTTCGGGACATTGACCAAGGCGTACGGCGGCCGAGAATCCCCCCTCGTCTCCGTAGACCTCCTTCTCAGTTCGAGTCCAACCTATCTCGGTTACACGACCCACCCGGACTACTCATCCCTCCCCTACTCCGAAATCGCAATTTACAACAAGGTCTTTTGGCCGTACCCGTACGTCCCCTCTTTCCACACCCTCGCGGGGATGGTCGAGACCCTCCTCCACGAGATGGTCCACGCCTACCTGATGCTTTTCGCCTGCCAGTCCGGCAACTGCGCAAAGAACATACTCAACACCATCGGGTTGACGGGCCACTCGCACACGTGGAAGGCGCTCCACGCCGTGATTGTCAGCGAGATCCGCTTGTGGGACCCCAGCCTCCGAGGCTTCCGCGCAGACCAATGCAGCGAAGGGGAGGGATACTGCCGCACGTCCTGCGAGCAGGAGCTGCGGGAGCAGATCGACCAGAAGGAGACCAGCGCCGCGAAGGGGCTCCGGCCCCGTCTCAAACTGGCCCGGAACCGCGTCGTGCGGTTCGCGCAGACGGGACGGCCCATCGTGAGGCTCGGCCCCCGCGCCAAGAAACGACAGGCAAAGCTCAAGGTTCGGGAGACGAGAAAGTGGAGGATCCGCAGGATGGCGGCGCTCGAGAAGACTTCGAAGGGTGCTGACCAGGCGGATGGGAAATGTGTCGGGAAAGGTAATGAAGATGATGATGTCAAGGAAGAAAAGGAAGAAAGGGAAGAAAGGGAAGAAAGGGAAGAAAAGGAAGAAAGGGAAGAAAGGGAAGAAAGGGAAGAAAGGGAAGATGTTGACGAGGAATTGACTCGAGAGATCCGGGCTTCTCTCCGAGTGCTACTCTCGATTTAGACCTCTGTCTTTGACGGGCCGGCATCTCCTAGACGCCGGCAGAGAAGGGGAGAAAAGGGAGAAATACAACACATATCTCAAGGGATTTGGAGGTAGATTTTGCAAAGAATAAACGTCATGTCGTTGGGTATTTTCATTCATCCTAAAATCCTGAACGAACACCGTTGCCATTCCTACATGAAGAATTGCTTTTCGAGTCCCAAGGCAAATCGCAAAAATCCAATAAGCGCCATGCGGAATAAAATGAAAAGAACACGCTCCCCGCGGCCCGGCTCCCAGCCCCAGCTCGAGCAGAGACTTCCTCTATACTCTATGCGTCTCGGACGTACACACCATCCTTGCATAGGACGACGACCTTCTTGAAGAAGCGGCGCCATTCCAGAGGATCGCCCTTGATCTTGACGAACCGCACGTCCAGCAATTCCCCTTCATCAAAGGCGAGGCGGTCGATCTGTACTTCGCCATGGAGACTCTGTTTGCGGCCATCCAGGGCGCGGAGCCGAACGGTGGCCACATGGTCGGAATAGAGATTGGGGGTGACGGGCGCCAAGGGCACGTTGAGCTGGTGGAGAGCATCGCTGAGCATTTGGACGAGGAGCTGCGGCGGCACGTGGGAGAAGAAGCGCGTGAGGGACTCGGCCGGCACGATGTCGCGGAACTGGCGGGCCGCCTGGGTGAGCGTCAGGGGAACACCCGGGTTCTGGGAGAACTGGCTCATCGAGGGCTCGTCGGCCAGCGGGTCGGAATACAGGCCGCGGCCGGGGGTGCTGCTGGGTGGGCGGAAGTGGGCGGTGGCTTCGGATCGGAGCGCCGGCTGCGTGGAGGAAATGGCCACGGAGCCGATGGACCGCAAGGCCGGGCGTTCCCAGTCCCACTCGGTGTCGGTAATGGGCACCTCCGGTTGGCTGGCGGATTTTAGTGCCATGCCGGGGCTGTCAACGTCCATGGACTCTCCGTTGGCTCCGTTGGCTCCGTTGGCGGCTTGCTGCTGTGACGGGGTAGGCTGCTGGCTGAAATCGATCCGGAGGTTCTCCAGCATCTTGGTTGCTAGGCTGAGAGGGTCCCTGATCTTTCCACTTCCATCCGTCGTGGTGAGAGAATTGTGTCTCGTATACCAAGGATGCTGTCGTATCTGTGTGAAAGAGAACCGCTTGGAGGTGTCGACGCTCATCATGCCTCGTAGGAGTGAAAGGGCCTGGGGGGGGATCCGTCCCCACAAGGCGTCGGTGCTGCGGCCGTTCGTCCGGAGGTACTCCTGGTACTCCCAGCTGGTCGAGGACGGCTCATCCCACGGGGTGTTCCCGACGAGCAGGACGAAGAGGATGACGCCACACGACCATATGTCGGATAGTTCCGGAGCATACCTGGCCGTGGTCCCAGACGACTTTTTGTCCACGCGGCCGCAGGCGAGGATTTCGGGGGCGATATAGGGCGGGCTCCCGCAGAGGGTGGCACTCGTCTTGCGCTGTCCCTTGTACTCGAACATAGTCGCCATACCAAAGTCGGCCAGCTTGAGGTTGCCCCTGTCGGAGAGGAGAATATTCTCCGGCTTGAGGTCGCGGTGGGCCACTCCCTTGGAATGCATGAAGCTCACTCCGCTGATGAGTTGGAGGAAGTAGATGTGGGCGATGTCCTCCTGGACGCCAACGTCGGCCTCTACCTTGTCGAACAGATCACCACCGTCGGCAAACTCCATGGCTATCCACCTCCAGTTGGCATCCTCGCCCGAGGCGAACCACTCGATGATGTTGGCATGTTGGCCGATATGAGAGTGAAGAGACACCTCCATCAGGAGCTGCTTTGCTGAAACACGGCCATGACGCATGGCATAGCCTTTATGAATCAGCTTGACAGCGAACACGGGTTCACTCCTGTCAGAAGGAATTGCCTTTTTGATCCTGTATGTTCATAACCGTTCATACATGGTGAGCTTGGTGATTCGACCTCATGTCACTTACACCACAGTTGAGGTTGGCGCCGTGCGTCCAGTGAGGGCAGGGAAAGGTAAGCTTACGAGGCATAGGCTCCGCGACCGATAGTTTTAGAAATGAGCCTGAAAGGTAGGTCACCCGGCAAAGGGTCTAACTGTGACTGGCTCATTGTGAACAAGCATTAGTAGCAGAATGGCCGAAGAGAGAACTCCTGGTGTTGCCTCTTCTAATGCGTGCGTGGGTGGGATCGCGATATTCCGATTCCCAATGTTGGTAGAGAGTGGAAAGCCCCATGTTGATCAAGTAGTAATTAACGCAGAACTCACCATCCTGGTATGATTGCCGTGTAAAACGTGTACTTGACGCGTCGTCACCGTGGCCGCGTCAAGAGAATTGTGCGAGGGTGGTGGTTTTGGTGGTGGTGGGGGGGGACCTGGTTTCTGTGCTGTTGTCTGTTCGGAGTGGAGGTGTGTAGGGGACAGGGACACTGTGTACATTCTGTCACCACAGAAGGGTTAGTGCGCTCCTCAAGCAAAACCGCTCAGAACACGCGGCATAGAGGTACCATGTATGTACAGTGTCCAAACGGTACATCTGGTAGGTAAGGTACCTAAGGTTAGGTAGGCGACAAAGCGGGCCCATTAGTGTACAACGGCGTTCCGAGACCGATGACAACAACTTGTAACAATTGGCTCTCCGTAGCTCCGGTCGCGGTTGCCCCGGCGGACTAGTGGGCCGGTCTCAGTAAACAAGACCCCTTGCCAAGGGCGAACCAGCGAGCCCAGAGCAGGAGCCATCAACTGTGACATGCTCTGAAAGCCTACGAATGAACTTACCTTAGGTACTTTACTTAGGTATTTTAGCTAAGGTATCCTCATCCTAAAACCCCAACCCACCTTCACCTTCCAACGTCCTCTGCTCTCCCGAGAACAGCATCTCCCGAAACACAACTCGATTACGGATAAATCTTCTTTGGAAAGGTTTGTCTCTCATTTTCTTTTACCTTCCCTCTCCATTCGCATTTCCCTTGCCCAGGCGCTCTTCACGTTTGGTTTCATCCCCGAGCAAAGCCCCACCCACTCCGTACAGGTTTGTTGTTTTTTTGCACCCGTCTAAGTCTTGTATCAGCGTCCGTCGTCAATAAAACACCTGCGAAATCAGCTTTCTTCTTTATTCCTCTTCCTCTTTATTTGATGTATGTCTTCCAACCCGAAGGGCTTGTATATGGCACGCGCTCGGTATCGTCAACAATAACTAACCTACCTAGTCATCTGCGCCCCTACCAGACAACCATGGATTATACAGAGGACAGCCAGAACACCGCTCCCGGAAGTCTCCAAGCTTCCAAGCTTGGTGCCACGAAGAAAGGCCCCGATGCCGCCAGCGTCACCAAGAGGTCAGTGTTATCGGGAATAGAATCGCCCACTCCCCCCATTGGCTTCACAAGCGCTGATTCGAATGTCCCTTTGATCGAGCAGACTACAGACTGAGCTTATGCAACTCATGACTTCTCCTGCCCCTGGTGTCTCTGCCTTTCCCTCCGCCGATGGCAACCTTATGAGCTGGACTGCCACCATCGAAGGACCCGAAGGCACTCCCTACGCTGGCTTGACCCTCAAGCTGAGCCTATCCTTCCCCAGCAACTATCCTTACGCCCCGCCCGTCGTCCTTTTCAAGACTCCAATCTACCACCCCAACTTCGACTTCTCCGGCCGCATCTGTCTTGACATCCTCAAAGACAAGTGGACTGCTGCCTACAACATTCAGACCGTGCTGCTGAGTCTGCAGAGCCTGCTAGGCGAACCCAACAAGTGAGTTGCTCCTCCAACCATTGCATCCCATCCTACCGAGGTTGCTAATGACCGAAAAAGCGCATCCCCCTTGAATGGCGAGGCCGCTGAGCTCTGGGATAAGGACCCCGAGGAGTTCAAACGCAAGGTCCTGGCCCGCCACCGCGATATTGACGACGACTGATGGAGCATGGAATGGGGGAGGAGCTGGACCGTGATACTTGCGACGCCGGCGGCACGGGCAGGCATTATACCCGAGTTCTGGAGAATTGGAGTTGTTTGTATTCATACATGGCACACAAGTCAGCGCGGAATGGCTGGTTTGGGACTTTTGGTGTTGGTCAGCGGGATAGGCAACTTGGGCTGCATGGCATACATTGGTACCAATGGACTCTTGTTTTATGAATGGTTTGTTCTCCTTTCCCTGTAGGCGAAGCAGACAGACACGACCCCATTTGTCGACAGCAAACGCCAAAAATCTTCTATGGAACCGCCTGACAGTGACACCCGAAGCTCATGGCAAATCGTTATCATCATCGTCCACGGTCACGACCACCACATTCCTCACTGGGCCTTGAATTGGGGACTCGCTGTCGGTGGCACACTAGAACAAGGGGACGAAAAAAAAAAAGAGTCGTCGCATTTCGTCGGAAGAATCGAGCCTCTTTCCCATTTCCTCTCAAGGAATCGTGTGGTAGTGGGAAGCTAAATACCCCGTGCAACTCCAATGCCGATGCCGCCCTGATTTGTTGACCCTTGCCAAAGAGAGAAACTTTTTTATTCCATCTTACTCCTCAACGACAACAGTCGGCAGACCCTTGGGGTCCTTGACGTTGACGGCCTGCACGTAGCTGTAGAGCCTCTCCTTGGCGCCCTCCTCGTCGTTTCGCCTCCGGGAGATGCGGACACGGAGCCTGTAAGGGACGCCCTTGATACCCTGCTCCCAGACCTTCTTGTTGAGCTGGGGGTCCAGACGGACGTCGGAGGTGCCCTGTAGGTAGATACACATCGATCATGTCAGCCCAAATTCTCATGATCAATTTGGCATACGGTATTGATTCCGATCCTTCTCTTTCCCCATAGTCTCTGCCCTCCCCCTTTTGTTGTTCTGCTCCGTCGACAAACAACCACACACACACACACACACACACACAACCATCCCTTCAATTTCGTTTCTCGAAAAGGATCCGTGACGTAGCTCGGGTGCGTCTCGGGCGGTGGGCACGTACCATGGACTTCAGGGCGAAAAGCTTGATCTGCTTGATGGCCTGGGGGGCACGCTTCTTGAAGGTCTCGCCATGGAGCTAGATGGTACACAAAAAGACACGCAGTTAGCATCCTTCGCCTGGTTTTTTCTTTTCTTTTTTCTCCCTTCTTCTTCTTCTTCTTCGTCGTCGCCGCAACTCGGCGCAATCGCAGTCCATGACAGTTGCTTCCGGCCGGGGGGGGGGGGGGGTTGGGTTGTTACTAACGCGCTTGTGAAGGTGGATGGTGTACTCGCGGGCAACAACGTCCGCGATGGCAGAGCGCTGCTGCTTGCCGCCAGTCTTCTGCTTCGTCGACATTTTGGACGGGTTCCTCGTGAGGTTGACGCTGAAGGAGGGGCGGGGAGGCTTGTCGAGCGAGTTGGGCGTCGTTGTCGATGCGATTTTGGGAGAGTGTAAATCCGAATGAATGTGTGTGTAGGCAAAAAAACCTAGCGAGCCAATCAGGAACGTAGTACCTCTTGTTGGAGTGCGGGCATAAGCACGTGACTTAGCTCTCTACGGCCCAGTGTCCACTTAAATTTTACGGTCAGGATCATAACAGATTACAGGGCTGGTACGTACCCGCTCCCCCCTGCAGTAGAATCAGAATCAGAAACATCCCCGGGCCTGGCAATGGGAGACGCTTGATCCTCTCCGCCCAGGTTGCAGGCTGCATTGCTCTGCCGCGAGCAAGCATCCTCATCATCATCATCATCAAATTTCCGTGTCTCCAGACTGTAGTTACCGCACCGACGTCGCCCACCACGAGTAAACTTTGACTCCTTCTGAATGAACGCGATTACACCTCTTTGTACAGCTGGAAGTGCTCTAGCAATCGGCTACTGGCAGCCATCTCCCTAGGCGACGCCCTCCCTGTATTACGACAGCTTCATTCGCCAGAGGAACCAGCAATCCCTTTGGAATACGAAGCCCGGATGACATTGACGAGTGGACCTTTATCACCCTGATCACCGATTGATCTCAGGGGCATCGTCTCCTAACGCTTTCGTTCAACCTCAGTATTCAATAATAGCAACGTTTTTCTTCTTGCTAATACCCTTACAAGAACGACAATTATAACACGAGCATACTCTCGTTTGCTCCTTGGAATCAACCTTAATCATGGACGAACAATCTGGCCATCCGGCATCAACGCCTTCGCCTCAGCCCGAGCCGTTTCGCAACAGGCTTCCCACTCTTTTTGAGGTGCTGAGTCGTCGTACGCGACCTCCGGTCGATCTCTTTTCGTTTTACATTTATATGCGGGACCAGCAACGATCCGTTGACTATCTCGATTTTTGGTGCGTTTAAGAAGGACTTCTCGAATACCGGACCGTGCAATTGACGTTTATTTATTTATTTAACAGGCTCGATGTCTCTCAGCACATGTCGCTATGCCGTCACTATGTTCGTGAACTCCGACGCTCCGTCCTAATAGGGACTCCCGATATGGACAAGGCCGGTTCAATACGCTCTTCCGCCATTCTAGAGAATATTGGAGACATGAATCATCCTGCCGCCGGTCCATCCATGTATGCTACGGAGAAAGAGAAGGATCAGGACGCCCAGATGTCTGCTTTCCTTCGCGAGGAGCAGGCGCAAGACTCGCCCAACGAGAGCGCCGGGACCGACCGCCGAGGGACCAGCCGTCCCAGTGGGTACTTCAGCACCCCGCAAGACCCGACATCCGACTCGAACTCGCCCGCCCTCACCGTCGCGCGGCAAGATATCCGCGCATCGGCCGAGAAGATTCTCTACACTTTCCTACTTCCTGGTGCCGAGCGCGAAATCATCCTTCCCGGTAGCATCACGCAGGACGTGACTACGTCAATTGAGGAGTTTGGAAGAGACGACCCCGAGGTGTTTGACGTGGCAAAAGACTACGTCTTTCAGGCTATGGAGAGGGACGCCTTTCCTGGCTTCCTCCGGATGAAGGCCCTCGGCAACTTGATCCCTCCGACGCTGGTTCTTCGTCTTATCATTGGTCTACTTGCCATGTTTGGCGGCTTTTGGGCCGCGTTTGTGCTCATCTTCCTTGACATGGACCGACTGACGAGATGCTGGGTGGGTGGCTTTCTTTTCCTGCTTTAACCCCATCTATAATGAGAAACCCTATGTACTGACAAGTCTCGGTTCTAGCTCATCCTCCCGTTCACTCTGGGCGTTTACTTCCTCGCTTCTTACCAGTACTCGCTCGACCCGGTATTGGCCCTCATTGGTTTCAGCGAGTACACACCTTTCAGTTTCTCTCGTATCCACGAGCCCTACATCCGCAAGCTCCTCGCCAGGCGCTCCCTCATGGTCCTTGCCGTCACAGCTCTCATTGACGCCGCTCTTTGTCTCCTCTTTATCTTAGTCCCCGGCAAGAGGCTCTGAGGACTCGATGTCACTTGATGGTTGGGCAGCTACGCGATTTTACGAACTGTATGATGTTCCAGGGCGTTGGGTCTTAAAGCGATGGAGGTTTTTTTTTCTTCCACTTTGTCTTCCTCCTCCGAAAGTTTCTTTCTAGTCTACCACAGGATACCCGGGTTGGTATGGAAGGTTGGCTACACAAGCGGGCGCGAAGTAGTAATGGAGTCAGATTCTGTTGATCCCCACGGCACAGTGTTCCATGCTTCGTCGGTGCTGGCGGGAACTAGAGTACGATTGCTCCCACTCTCCTCGTAGTCGAACGAACGCCCATGTGGTCGTTTATTGCTGGTACTTGGTCTCCATCGGTGCCTGCGAGGTAGCGAGAAAGGCCCAGTGCGTAAGAGCGGGCGTCGTCAGTCTCCTCAGATTTACTTGGTCTTGATGCTTTCTGAGGGATGTCCGGATGTCGGCACTCGGGGAATGCAATCACTGAATGAAACAAACACTGCAAGATCGCCAGTCATTCGTAAGGTCCTTTGTCTCATTAGCAGGTTCCGTCCGTCTATGATGAATAAACACTGTTTCGTGGGACACTGGAAACATGTGGGCAAGAAGCGCCTGTCTACCCATCCCTCGTCGTTGTGCCTTCTCTTTTGGCCTCCAGCAAGTGATAAAAAAAAAAAAAAAAAGGAGCATCATAGGGGGTTTTGGTGGGTGTAGCAGACGTGTCTGCCCAAGTTCGGTGTATTCCCTTCCCCGCCGAGAGGGGTCACGAACTGCTTGGTCCTCATGTCGGGCGATATATCGCATTCGGTTGAGCTTCGACGGGACGCAGACGTCTCACAGCTTCCGCCGGCTCGCGCGTTTCTGCTCCTCTTCCTCCTGGTCGACATCCATAGTCTCGTCATCGACGGCGTCAGTGCCTTCCATCAGGTTACTGGCGCGCTTGTTCAAGGCCCTGCCCCTTCCGCCCCGAAGACTATACGAGGTAGTAGCCCGAGGACCGGATCGCCGGGAGCGATCGCCGCCGGAAGCACCCTCAGAGGGGACAGCCTTGGCTTCGTCGACGAGTCTGGCGAGCTTGGCGTCGCGGGCGGCGGATTCGCGGTGGCGACGGGCGGCGTTGGCACGGATCTCGGCGGTTTGAACTTCGATGTCGCGGAGGGTGGTGGTGCAGCGGTCAGACCAGGTGCGTAGCGGGGAGACGAGGTCCGCGACGGCGCCCGGACGGAGGTCGCGGAGCGGAGAGAGGGCGTTGACTTGGACGTACTGCCGTGCGGGGTCGAGGGTCGCGGTTAGAAGGCCGGCGTAGACGGCCAATGTGACGAGAGATTCCAGGGCGCGGGAGTCCGGGAGGCCAAGGGCGGACTGGAGGCGCGGGTAGGTTAGGTTGGCTCGGTCACGGGCGAGGGTAAGGAGGGTGAGCTGGCGCAGCTTGAGAGTCTGAGATTCGTTAAGAGGGGGCAGAGGCGGTTGTGATTGTTGTTGCTGATGCTGTTGCAGGGACTGTTGGTAATCGGCGTAGGTGCCGTAGGAGAAGATCTCGAGGAGGGTAAGGTGCCGGGCGAACTGGGGCGACTGGGAGAGAGACTGGATCTGTGGAGTGCAGAGAAGTTCGGTGAATAGGAAAGTGTTGGGATGGGATGTAGCACGGGTAACGAGGTCAGCTGCTGCGCGAGGAGAGGTCGCCGACTTGGTGAGAGCTAGGAACGGCTGGAGAGAGGTCTCGAGAGTTAGTCTCCAGAGTGGTATCGAGGCGGGATTTGGAGGGAGGCGTTACCTCGAGGGCATTCAAAGCCTTTGTCTGTTCCATGTCGACGGATCAGACGTGGAGAGGCGCACGATGCAAAGGTAATATCTCAACTTGGCTGGCCAGCTCAGCGTCACACTGGAAGCTGGATGAGGTTTCGATGGAGGGGTCGCCGCCAGAGCGATGTATTGTCGGGGTTGATCAATGGTTAAGGGTCGGATGGCGGGCGAAGACGTTGCAACCGGGGCTTTCCTTAATACGCCAATCCTTGTTTTGGTATTTTCAGTTTCGTATTGACCCTTAACTAAGCGCTTTTCGAGGTTGGAACCCTGTCCGTTCGTGTGGTTGGATCTGTTTGTAGGCAAGTCAATGAAGTTGGAGTCGGAAGCTAGATACCCAGAGCTGCCAGTCAAGCATGGCAGGTAGGTACCTAGGTACCTTAGTAATTACGAAGTACCTATGTACGAAGTACTTACTCACATCGCAGTTTGGCTGAGTCAGCTTGTGTGTGACACAGTACCTAATGCTTATAATGCAACACTGTGAATCTCGAGATCGGAGAGGGTATCAATACATACACGCATAGTAGGGCGGAGAAGAACAGACTAGAAGCGCGTTAGTAAGGTTGTGGGAACGGGATCTTACCTATGTCATTTCGACCCACCCCCGAGTAAAGTACCTTGGTAAACCCCGCGACTTGAGCGTATCAATCAAGGTAATAAATGAAGCTCATCTGACTTGCTACGGATCTGACCATCTAGAGAATGAGACACGTGAGCATGAATTCCTGTGTTTCCATAAGGTACCTAGGCAGTGAGGTACGGATACACTTTGTGAAACAGGGGACCCAGTCATGGCGATTGGGGAAGCACGAACATGGTACGTACCTTATATCCGTAAGTGCTTACCTTATGATTGCCGATCAGTGAGTGAAGGGTAAGGTAATGATCTGTGGCGCCGGGGTTAGACAATGACCATAACGGCGCGGAGCGAGGCCGTTGACTAATAAGCCTCAGCCATGTTTCTTATTATAATCCTTTCTCGCTGGGTCATTGTCCTCCCGTTTTGGAAGACAAAACAAGAGACACATTAGGTAATGTAGCAAACATATACGGAGTATGGATGAGATTTTAGTGTTCAGTTCCATATGGATATTCTTAGTTAATTGGAGGAGAGATACTCCGGCTGGTTGGTACGTTGTAAGGTAAAAAAAAACCCCCCCATGGTACACGTTGATCACGAGTGAAACGGGCAAAAAGGCGTTCGGAATCAACGAGACCGACGTCGGGTTTCGGCAATTGAAAACATATTATTATGCACGATGCGATTGATGGAAATATGTAGGAGAACCGTGGGACGCCAAGTCGTTTCAACGGAAGGACAGAACACTTGGTCAAAGAGGAAACGAAATAAATAGGAAAAAGACAGGAGGGAAAAACAAAGGTAAAGAAAAGAAACAAAAGAGAAACAAGATTCATCACCTGCGACGTGGCCAATGCAAATCTATTTTCACAGACATACTTCGTACATATGTAACCAACGATTCAGTAGCTTGGGGTCCGCTCCCTGTCCACCTTAATTATTCACTCCGTCGGGTCTTACACTTCCCGTCACATCATCGGATCCTGGCAGTCCGTGAGCTCTCGGAATGAAAGGTACAGTGCTCCGTACGTACGTACCACGGTAATGACCTTAGAGAGTTAGTACTCAATACCTTAATTAATAACTCCAGCCATACATCTTGCTTGGGATTGCGGGATACGTGTGTACCTTTACACAAAGAGCGCAACTCGTGTGATAATTAAGGTACAGATGATTGCTTCGTACGCGTAGTCGTGTTGTATTCGTGCAACACCCAAGTCCGTGTACCTTGCGGAGCTGGTAATTACAGTACGATGTAATGTCCGGAGTAGGTATAAGGAATAGCGGACGGATACTCCGTGGGGAGTACTCCGTACCTTACCTTACCTTACCTTACCGTTGTACTTACTTTGTTCCCACCCGCAACGGGCCCGCGGATAGGTAGACTCGTGGGACCCCCAAGCCTTTAGTGTACCTGGTCCGCCCGCTTGTACTTTGCGCTTTGTGGACCGAAGCCTTTCTCACCTTCCGTTTTCTGTTATCTATCTTTCTCCCCTCCCCGGTGGCCAAGATGAACCATCACTCTATTTGACCTCCTTACCCTTCCCCACGCCCTTGACTCGTGTCCGGGTGTCCGGCTCCTTCCTTATACCGATTTCCGTTGTGCCTGTTCCCACTTCCATAACCAGACCTATTCTCCTCCGGAAGCCGGCCTTCTGGAATTTCTAACGCCCTGCGTCTTGATCCATCCTCCATCTTTCCGACATACAACGTGCCTTGATCGTCCCGCCTCGCCCCTCGATCACCCGGGTAGTGCGCATACCTTTTACTACCTATAATGCATAGCTCCGATCCCAGGTAGCATCTGCAGCCTTGCTTCACCCTTCACTTTTGGACGATTCGGATCGAGCAACGAGGCAAGGACAGGGAGATAGCCGGAGAGAGGAGAGAAAGAAAGAGAGAAAGAATATAGCCTTGCGCGCCTGGGCTTGGATGGTTTCTCTCGCAACCCAACCAAAGTACAATCTCTTCGCCCGAGACCACAATCAACCGCCATGGCGCCTGCGTACCTCAAGATACCCACAAAGGGCGACGATGAGGAGGGGGGGAGGCCTTCATCAACGGCCCACATGGCCACCACGACCCTTAAGGTGGACGGAATGACGTGAGTTGCCCTTTAGGCCCCTTTGGTGATTTGGGGGTTTTTTATTTCATTTTTATTTTTGCCCTCACTGACGCACGATATTTCGCGCAGATGTGGCGCCTGTACATCGGCGGTCGAATCCGGTCTCAAGGGCGTCGATGGCGTCGGGAACGTCTCTGTCAGCCTCGTAATGGAGCGCGCCGTTGTCCTTCATGATCCCCAGCGCATTTCCGCCGACGAGATCCAACAACGCATCGAAGACCGCGGGTTCGACGCCGAAGTTCTTGCCACCGACCTCCCTTCCCCCGTATTCACCCGGCAGGCCGTCGATGAAGGGGCTTTTATTGACGACGAAGACGAAGACGAAGACGAATATGAAGACGATAAAGAGAATACCATGATGACCACGACCGTTGCTATTGAAGGAATGACATGCGGCGCTTGTACCTCCGCCGTTGAGGGTGGCTTCAAAAACGTTCCCGGCGTGTCCGGCTTCAGCATATCCCTGCTGTCGGAGAGGGCCGTCATTGAGCACGATCCGAGCCTTTTGCCCGCTGATAAGATCGCCGAGATCATCGAAGATCGAGGATTTGGCGCCACGATAGTAGAGACTCAGAAGGTCCGACCAGAGAGGAAAGGCAGGAAATCGAAGTCGGGAAATGGTGGCTTGCAGAGTTCCGCCGCCACCACCACCGTTGCCATCGAAGGCATGACATGCGGCGCTTGTACCTCCGCCGTTGAAGGCGCTTTCAAAGGCGTTGATGGCGTGTTACGGTTTAACATCAGCTTACTAGCCGAACGCGCCGTTATCACCCACGACGCCACCAAGCTGACCCCCGAAAAAATCGCCGAGCTCATCGAGGATCGGGGGTTCGGCGCCGAGATCCTATCCACCCAGTCCGACGTCTCCACTCACTCCAGCACCGCATCGACGGTCCAGTTCAAGCTCTACGGCGATTTGGACGGCATGTCAGCCCTCGCGCTCGAGGCCAAGATCCAGGCGCTGCCAGGCGTCAAATCCGCCAAGCTGAACTCGGCCGGCTCACGTCTCACCGTCACCCATGTACCACACGTCATCGGCCTACGCTTGATCGTAGAAGCCATCGAGGTCGAGGGGCTGAATGCCCTCGTCGCCGATAACGACGACAATAATGCGCAGCTCGAGTCCCTCGCCAAGACGCGGGAGATCAACGAGTGGCGCAAGGCCTTCAAGGTTTCACTCGCCTTTGCCATTCCCGTGTTCCTCATCAACATGATCCTACCCATGATTCCCGCCATCGATTTTGGTGCTTTCCAAATCGTCCCCGGTCTCTTCCTCGGCGATTGTATCTGTTTGATTCTCACCATACCGGTCCAATTCGGCATCGGCAAGCGCTTCTACGTATCCTCGTGGAAATCGATCAAGCATAAATCCCCTACCATGGACGTCCTCATTGTCATCGGCACCTCTTGCGCCTTCTTCTTCAGTGTCGGCGCCATGCTCGTATCATTATTTTCCCCTCCTCATACCCAGCCGAGCACAATCTTCGATACCAGCACCATGTTGATCACTTTTATCACCTTGGGCCGTTTCTTGGAAAACCGAGCCAAGGGCCAGACCTCCAAGGCCTTGTCGCGGCTTATGTCTCTGGCACCATCCATGGCCACTATCTATTCCGATCCCATCGCTGCGGAGAAGGCAGCCGAGAGCTGGGATACCGCGCCGGGGTCGTCCGAACGTAAGACGTCGACTTCCCACGAGGGATCGGCGGCCGAAGAGAAAATCATCCCTACCGAACTAATCCAGGTAGGAGACATTGTCCTCCTGCGGCCGGGTGACAAGATTCCGGCCGACGGTATGATTGTCCACGGCGAGACCTACGTCGACGAGAGCATGGTCACCGGCGAGGCAATGCCTGTGCAGAAGAAGAAAGGCAGCTACCTCATCGGCGGTACCGTCAACGGCCATGGCCGGGTCGACTTCAGGGTCACTCGTGCCGGCCGAGACACCCAGCTTAGCCAGATCGTCAGGCTCGTCCAGGAGGCGCAGACAACCCGCGCACCTATTCAACGCCTGGCGGACACTTTATCCGGTTACTTCGTCCCGATTATTCTTGTTCTAGGATTCAGCACCTTCTTCGTGTGGATGATTCTCAGCCACGTACTCAAGCAGCCGCCCGAGCTGTTCCTGCGCGAGGCCAGCGGTGGCAAGATTATGGTATGCGTTAGGCTCTGCATCTCCGTCATTGTCTTCGCCTGCCCTTGCGCCCTTGGTCTGGCCACCCCCACAGCCGTCATGGTGGGCACCGGCGTCGGAGCCGAATCCGGCATTCTCGTCAAGGGTGGTGCCGCGCTGGAGACAACCACCAGGGTCACGCAGATCGTCCTAGACAAGACCGGCACCATCACCAACGGTAAAATGAGCGTCGCGAACGCCCGTATCGTTTCCCTCTGGCAAGACACCGAATGGCAGCGTCGGATGTGGTGGACCATCGTAGGCCTGGCGGAAATGGGAAGCGAACACCCTGTGGGTAAGGCCGTTCTCGCCGCCGCCAAGGCCGAGCTCGGTATGCACATAGAGGGCACCATCGACGGCACCGTGGGCGAATTCAACGCTGTTGTGGGCAAGGGCATCAAGGCGCTCGTGGAGCCGGCGTCGAGCGCCGAACGGACAAGATACCGGGTCCTCGCGGGCAACGTCCGTTTCCTGCGCGAGAACAATGTCGAGGTCCCCGAGGACGCCGTCGAGGCGTCAGAGGAGATCAACAGCAAGGCCGGCAAGGGCTCCAAGGCCTCGTCGGCTGGCACCACGAACATCTTCATCGCCGTCGACGGCAAGTACACCGGCCATCTCTGCCTCTCGGATACCATCAAGGAGGGCGCCGCGGCCACCATCGCCGTCCTCCGCCGCATGAAAGTCAAGACGGCCATGGTGACGGGCGACCAGCGGTCCACAGCCGTCGCCGTCGCCAACGCCATCGGCATACCTCCCGAGGACGTCTACGCCGGGGTGTCTCCGGACCAGAAGCAGGCCATCATCCGCCAGCTTCAGGACCAAGGCGAGGTGGTCGGCATGGTGGGCGATGGCATCAACGACTCCCCCGCCCTCGCCACGGCCGACGTCGGCATCGCCATGGCCAGCGGCACCGACGTGGCCATGGAGGCGGCCGACGTGGTGCTGATGCGACCCACGGACCTGATGGACGTCCCCGCCGCCCTGCACCTCGCGCGCTCCATCTTCACCCGCATCAAGCTCAACATCGCCTGGGCCTGTCTCTACAACATCGTCGGTCTGCCCTTCGCCATGGGCCTCTTCCTCCCCTTCGGCCTCCACGTGCACCCCATGGCGGCCGGCGCTGCCATGGCCTGCAGCAGCGTCAGCGTCGTTGTCAGCAGTCTCCTGCTGAAGTTCTGGTCGCGGCCTGCGTATATGAACGACGCTCTCGTGGAGGAGCGTGGCGGCGTTACCCGGCGCAGGGGCTTCGGCCTCTTCGACAGGCTGACGGACGTCATCGACCAGTTGCGGGGTCGCAGGAAGGATGCGGCTGGTTACGTTCCTCTGGAGGAGATTTCGGAGAGAGGAGAGGTATGAAGAGAGGGGGAGCGGAGAACAACAATGTTCTGTAGTTGCCATATTACTGCCATTTTTCTTTTTCGTATGTTCATCATGTCTTGGATATCTATCGCTTTCATACAACGGTTGCCTTTCTCAACGTAGATAGTTTCAACAATGATCTTGTCATTACTCATGGGCGCTCATCGCATCTTGCGAAGCTTCCTCGGGCTTAAGTCCGCTGTGTGTTGGCTCGTCCCCGGTTAAGACCGAGAGAGAGTATTCCGCTTTTTATTGCTTGTTCTGGCTCGTGTCTTGCAGTCAATATAATCTCGACCCTATTGACAGATCATCAAATCTGAATGAACGATCCCGCTATGGCATCCTCCCTTGTATTCAACCCCAAAACGCCGATGCTTATGCCATGAAGCACAGGATGGAAAAGAACAGACGATTAGCAACCCGCTAGAAAAGAAGGAAAGAAGAAAGAGAAAAAAAAAGAGTGGTCAGACCCCTTTATACGTCTGGCTAATGATCTGACTCCCGCAAAGGTAGCCCCTCTCATGCTCGTTCTGTCCAAGCATCCTGCTCCACCTTCGCACTTCATCAAGCGTTACGTTTCGTTCCCGCAACTCCCAGGCCAGGCGGCCCATAGCTCCGCTGCCCGCGTCCGCAGCTGATACTGTGGGAGGACCGTCAAGCTGGGGTAGGGAGGAGGCGTCAAGCAGCATCTGAGCCCCGAGGTCACCGGCACTTTTGTTCTTGTGTTTGGATAGGAGGGTGAAACGTATGCCGACCTCGGCGACGGTGACGACGATGCTGATGCCGATAAGAACGATGATTATCCATGTGATGTGGCTCATATTGTAGTCGGCGACCGAGTCGGACAGGATCGAGGCGAGGTCAAGGAAGTCGCGGCAGCGCTCGTTGAGCATCTTGGTGCGAGTGTCGATCTCAAGGTACTCGCGGATGGCGCTGTAGAGGGGATGCAGCGTGGGCTCGGAATCCCAGAAGAAGTTGGGGACGTCGAGGATGTTAGAGGCTAGATTAAGGCAAAGAGAACGATATATGTTAGCGCACGTAATGTCTTTTCTTCTTCTTTTTTTCCTTCTGAGGAGTATGGATGCCCCTCGAAATATTTCGGGGGGACGATGGAAAGGTCCGGGGCAAAAAGGGAGAAGTAAAAAAAGTGAGAGCAAAAGCACATACAGAGGTTAATGTCGACACGACTCGTGAATAACCGGCCCATGATTTTGACAATCTCAGCTCGGGTCATGCCCAGTTCGCCGGTGAGGGCGAGGCGCTTAGGCACATGTTGGGCGTCGAGCATGGTCCCGTTCAAGCGTTCCTCGAAGAAGCACAGCTTGGTGCTCTGGGCGATGGCGTGACTGATGGTCAGCTTGATCATGTGGTCGCTCCGCGGCAGCAGGGTGATCATGTCGTTGAAAATGCGCGGGCGTTTGATGTCGGCGCTGTATTCGAAATTGAATTCTTCCGTCTCAAACTCATCCTCCTCCAGGGGACGGGTGAGCAGGCTCTGGCCGGCGTCGTTCTCGGCAAAGGTCAAGTCTGCCAGTATGTCCTTCTCCTGACGCTCGGTGAGATTCCAAAAGACGACAACACCGTACGAGAACAGGAAGACTTCGGCGAACGCCTTGGTATCCGGGGCAATGTGGCCCATGGGAGAGAGAAAACGTTCATCTGCACTCCGGTCTCGCTGGGGCGAGCCAGACGGATCCGCGCCTCGATCAATGCGGTCGCCGGTTTCGTCTCCTCCCGACACGTCGGAATCCCGATCCCGAGAACGGGTGTCGTGGTCGTTGACGGTGGCGCCACCATCTCCATCACCTCGATCTCCACCGTCGCCGTTACCGTCCCGGTGACCGTCCCGGTGACCGTCACCATCGCCGTCACCATCGCCGTCACCGCTGGTAAAGGCATTATCCTCAAAGTAGCCCTCGTAGTGATCCCGCCTCTCGCTGCGCTCAATTTCCAAGTCGAGCAGCGTCTTCCCAGATCCAGGAGTTTTCGGTATCGGCCTGCTTCGTACCCTAAAGCCGTCGCTTCCTGGGAGGAGCGGAAGCGAGTATACAGCGTAGAGGCAATCGTCGTAGAGCTTGGTCTTGGCCCCGTGTTTCTTGCGCAGAAACTCGCCGGTGGATTTCATCTTGTAGGACTGAGCGGTGCAGTAGGCGGTAAGGCGGGCAATCTTCTCCTTGCGCTCGAACTTGGGCAGCCTCTCGGCATAACTCTTGCCGCGAACGCCGCCCTTCTTTTTCAGGATTTCGAGCTCGTCATCGTTCAAAGGGCGGCCCTCGTCGTCTTCGTGGCGCTTCGCTAGTTTGGCGGCGTCGCTGTCGGGCTCTTCCTCGTCGGAACTTCTCCTCTCGTCAATGGTTTCGGGCAATAGCACTAGTTTCTGACTGATCTTGGATGTCCTCGAAGGGATGTTCTGCTGGCCAATACGGGATTGAATGTGGGGAAGACCAGCTCCCACGCCTGTCAGGGAACTGGCACGCCGCGGGCGCATCGGAAGAGCTGTCCTCTGAGGGGGGGACGGTCTTGGCGCATGTCGCGGCTGGCCTGAGGGTATGTCGGAGGCGTATTGGAGGACGTTGTCGACGGACATAAAACGCATTGCCTGCTGATCAGAACCTCCGGAACCTGTACCCCGACGTTGAAGGGCCGGTCGCAAAGGGGGCCGTTGCCGGGAGTCTGTCACCTGCATGGAAACCCACCCATTAGCAAACACGATCGAACAGGAAACGGGACTCTCTTGGCCGTACAAGGACAGATGGCGTTCGTTTTTGTGTAGGCATCGTTCTGGTTCCTAATTGTTGCTGATTCGACGCCGTGAAAGACCAGAAACAAGGATTCGTAGGGTTCTTTGTGAAGGACCTGAATAATGGATTTCGGGGGGGG